TTCTTGGCATCAAACATCTGCTGGGTCAGTTCGGGCACAGTGAGAGCTCGGTACTGCTGGGATCCACGAGAGGTGAGGGGAGCAAAACCTGGCATAAAGAAATGTAGACGTGGGAAAGGTACCATGTTGACAGCCAGTTTACGTAGATCAGCATTCAGTTGACCAGGGAATCGAAGACAGGTGGTCACGCCAGACATGGTGGCTGACACGAGATGATTGAGGTCACCGTATGTAGGTGTGGTCAGCTTGAGGGTACGGAAACAAATATCATAGAGAGCTTCGTTATCAATACAGTAGGTCTCGTCTGTATTTTCTACCAGTTGATGAACTGAGAGCGTAGCGTTGTACGGTTCAACAACTGTATCGGATACCTGAAGATAAATACAAATAAAAATAATTATTAAGATGGTTAAAACAGAGAGCACATTTTATTAAGGGACCATCATCCATACCCAAAAAGTGACATATGTCAGAATCTAAAATATATACATAGAGCTTCAGTCAGGGGTAAAGCGTTGCATATTTTTAAAAACGGAATCTTTGAACAGATAGATGTATTGTAAAAACACCGTCACTTTAAAATTCTATATCTTACCTTAGGTGAAGGACAGACGGAAAAGGTGTTCATGATTCTATCTGGATATTCTTCACGGATTTTACTGATGAGGAGGGTTCCCATACCCGAACCAGTTCCACCACCAAGTGAATGGGTCAATTGGAATCCCTGCAGACAATCACAGCTTTCAGCTTCTTTACGGACCACATCTAGAACAGAGTCAACCAACTCGGCACCTTCTGTATAATGACCTTTAGCCCAGTTATTACCAGCACCACTCTGACCAAAGACAAAATTATCTGGACGGAAGATCTGACCAAAGGGTCCTGATCGTACAGAATCCATGGTACCGGGTTCCAAATCGACAAGAACAGCTCTGGGTACATACTTTCCTCCTGTAGCTTCATTATAATAAACATTGATTCTCTCCAACTGAAGATCAGAATCACCGTGGTAAGTTCCAGTTGGGTCGATACCATGTTCATCAGAGATTACTTCCCAAAACTGAAAGATAAAACGCCATAGTGTTAGAGTTTCTTGTTTTAAGTAAATATCAGTTCCTATATCTGCTATTGGCTATTAAAGTGGATATACAATAGCTATATATGTGAATCACACAAACAATAGGATGCCTAAAGATACTTTATGAGTAAGTGCAGGAGGACCGCACTACACTTAAAACAAAAATCTACAAGATAAACCTACGGACAAGACAGAAAATAGACATTGCACCAAATAAACAAATATCAAATCAAGTTATTTATAATTAACCCTCTAGAACATAGGAGGAAGCAGATGTAAACAATTCAAAATACAATCGCCATTTAATGATTTAATTTAAAAATGGAGAAGCGAGGATGTGTCTTGATTAACATGTAACGCTGCTGAGATAATAAACAATTTTTTTTTTTAAACATTCGGCGTAATGCTCAATTTTTATTGCCCTGATTAAGCAACTCGGTCAACAGAAATAATTGCATTGTAGCGTCGACCAGAAAGGAATAAATTTGACGTACATATATTTATTATGAACAATGTACTCAGAAAGACTGTCGCATATTAAACTTACCTTAGCTCCGATCTGGTTGCCACATTGGCCAGTTTGCATATGAACGATTTCTCTCATGTTGGAAGTTTAAAGGGTTAACTGTGAAGACAAACTGTAGAAGACAGAAAGTGAATGTTAATGATAGACTCAGTGATAACTTATATACATATACACCATGTCACGTGTCTCCAAGGTAATATTAGTTTTAGGTAAATAAAGTATATAATCCAATAGTAGTGAGGGGATTAACAAATTATCGAAATAGAATGGGATTAATCAAGCAATCCATTCGGCTGGTATTAATGGCAAGTGTGATTTACATGTTTAAAAGTCCCATTGAGAATATTTAGATTAATAATACAAAGTTTCAATACGGGTATTAAATACAGTATAACTATTCAAAAAATTATAGAAATGACTGGGCTAATGGAAACGGACGTACGCCATACAGTGTGCTATAAAGGCTTACTCTATTTGTTAAGGCCAGCTCAATTTTTGTCAAGGTCGCTGAGATGTAAATTTGGTTCGTGATATTTCCTAGTTTTGTTAAAAAATACATGCAATACATTAGATTAATATACAAAGTTGGTTTCGTTGTTTTTTGATGTTGGTGGCGCTGGTGGTCTTCCTTCGGTGCCGCTTGTGGTATTCTGGTATTTTGGTTTCTGAAGAATAAAGTTGAGGCTCTCGGGTGATAGCCACATTAGTGTGTTTCTTACTTAGGATTGGATTTTCTGAAAATAAGTTTTTTTTCACTATCCCGGGGTTAGGGCTAGGGATTGTTATAACTAGTTCATTTTATTTACTAAGGGTTAGGGCTAGGGTTTGATAAATTCTTTGCGTAGGGAAAAGGTGAGGACTGGCGTTATTTAATCTAATTCACTATGCACTGGGATGTCGTTCAGAATTTTATTTTTAGAATATGCAATTATAAGTTTCTGTGCAAAGACTTTAGGGTGATTTTCATGGAGATCAGTATAGTGTTTTCTGATGATTTTGGATGCACTTGCTGCTGATGCGCTAAATGGAACTACAAAAGGGCTATTGCGCTAGCCGTATGGATATTCAAACCTAGGAGGCTATTGTTTTCAATTTGTCAATCCAGAATTGTTCTCGTTAGCCTAAACGTTTTAATTTCTTCTGTAGTTTCAAAGTCGCTCTTGGTCTTTTCTATTGGCGTGAAGTGAATTGAGATCGGTTTGTATTTTTTGGCCTATATCTAGAATTCCACAAGTCTTTTTTACGTGTATGCCATCGCGGTTCCCACAAAATCTAGATTAATCAGATCTGGTCAAGGATGTAGCAGACAATCCTGAAAATTAAACAATTATATTTTAGAAAGAACCAAATGCCGATTGAACAAACCATTAACTCATGAACCATTCATATTTATCTAAGTTCAACAATTGTATTTTGAGCAGACATAGAAACATTATTAATGATATCTTTATTTTAAAATATGACGACGGCTGAATGAGGAAAAAAATAGCGATAGTCAAATATCGTTCTGGTGACAAAACTTCTACATTAGTTTCTAACCACAATCGACGATGCTATCAATATTCACAATCTATGACAAGTATTAGGCGGCGCTAACAATATTATAAATCTTGAAACGGAAGAAAATAAGACCCATGTTACGTGACGTTTTTTAATCTGAACATGAAAATCAATAATTTATACTTTAAAGATGCGTTATCACTTTTAGCAAAATGAATAAAATACAGTTTACAAACGTGTGTCTTTGGCGTGCACTGTATCAATGTATAACACAATAATGAACTGCTAAATCAATTGTGGGGGGGGGGGGGGCAAATGGTTAGCATAAGGTCTGTCATTGAGTCAATTGACGTGGTTTTGAATCCCCGGATGTACGTGACAAGAAGCACAGTGGTCAATTTTATTTCAATAATTCGCTTGTGCGTAGGGGTATTTAGCAGTGGCGGGAAACCCGAGGACCAGGATAAAACCCACGAGGTTAGACAGACTACCCTACCATTATACTAGATTTTTATCCCCTATTATTAACGAAATTATCTCACCTACAATGTGTTTTAATCTTCTACGAAAACATCGTTAAGACCTAAATTATGTTTAAAGTGACAGATATGGATTTAGCGAAATTAACGAAATTATCTCACTTACAAATGTGTTTTGATCTTCTAAATAAACACCGTTAAGGCCTTAATTATGCTTAAAGTGACAGAAATGGATTTAGCTAAGTAAACAATGACATCTAAAGTGTCCACTCAACACAAACTAGGTCATTTCGGGACCAGCATAGGTTCAGTTACACGCGTAGGTGACTTTATCAGTGACGACCCTACCCCTTGTCACTCAATGACAGACCCTGTATTCTAACGCAGACACACCTCTTCCAAAGGACTTTGGTACGAAATATGAAATATATATTTGGCAATTAACAAAGACATCACGGTAGCTGTGTCTTTATTTTTAAACCTAACATTTTGAATGCTATCATGACTTGTACTAGTATTATACAATGTTTCTGGGATATATTCCTCCTTATTGTTGGTTTTCATTTTTGAGTGACGTCAGTATCAGTATTAGGCCCAGGACTGTACAGCGCAGTGGACACTACGGCTAGACCCCGGATCCATTCACTTAATATATGTTTGTTTGTGATTTCTGTGTTTTGTGTCTTGTGTCTTGTCCGTAGATTTGTTTTGTGTAATTGTTTGTGTGTGGCGCAGTCCCCCTGAACTTACTATTAAGGAATTGTTCAAAACTTTTTTCTTTGTCAATCAAATAGAAAAACCAAGAGCACAACAGTTCTTGATAATGGTTATTCTTCTGCAAATTCAGCATCTCAGCTCCCTATGTAAAAAGTGGTCTTGGTAATCGAGAACATTACTTTGCGTACTGGCGATTTATGATAACAAACAGAAGCAAAGCAAGGAACTGATTAAAACACAGATAATTTCATTTCGTTTTTATAGTTCAAAATTTTGTTTTACTTGTCTTTACTACACTAGGATCTGGAGGGGGTTGTTATAAAACCCGCGTTCTGGATGATGTGATGGATTAGCCAATGAAACGGTTTGTGACGGCGAATTTTTGACGTAACCAAGTATCTGATGCCATAGGGTCAAAAGCCGCTCGCATGACCTCTGACGCGACGTCCCAGCAGAACTGGTCAGATCTTCATGTAGTGTAGGCCATCGAAAGTATAAAAAAACGAAACGAAATTTAGGTCTGTATTTTAATCAGATTGCAGAACAAGAAGAAGGATCATAATATTTTTGTCTGTCAGTTAAACGCTACATGTTTTGTTCCAAGTTTCCCACAGATGCCAAACATTAAACATGCATTATCATTAGTAACATGAGAACAAAAAGACAATGAATCAATTTATTCCTGTTTTACATTCTGCATAATAAATATATAACAATAATTAAAACAATTTATAATACTTTATTTAGATTTCTCTATCTGATATTTAACCTTCTTCTTCGCCTTCTTCTTCATCAAATTCTCCTTCCTCTTCAGCTGTAGCATCCTGGTATTGTTGATATTCAGATACCAGATCATTCATGTTAGATTCAGCTTCCGTAAATTCCATCTCATCCATACCTTCACCAGTATACCAATGGAGGAAAGCCTTTCTTCTGAACATAGCTGTAAACTGTTCAGATATTCTCTTAAACAGTTCCTGTATAGCTGTACTGTTACCAATAAATGTTCCTGACATTTTCAGACCTCTTGGTGGAATATCACAGACAGCTGTTTTTACGTTGTTGGGAATCCATTCAACAAAGTAGCTGCTGTTTTTATTCTGAACGTTCAACATTTGTTCATCCACCTCCTTCATGGACATACGACCTCTGAACATGGTAGCTACTGTTAGGTAACGTCCGTGACGAGGATCACAGGCAGCCATCATGTTCTTGGCATCAAACATCTGCTGGGTGAGTTCGGGTACAGTGAGAGCTCGGTACTGCTGGGAACCACGAGAGGTGAGGGGAGCAAAACCAGGCATAAAGAAATGTAGACGTGGGAAAGGTACCATGTTGACAGCCAGTTTACGTAGATCAGCATTCAGTTGACCAGGGAATCGTAGACAGGTGGTCACCCCAGACATGGTGGCTGACACCAGATGGTTGAGGTCACCGTATGTAGGTGTGGTCAGTTTGAGGGTACGGAAACAGATATCATAGAGAGCCTCGTTATCAATACAGTAGGTCTCGTCTGTATTTTCTACAAGTTGATGAACTGAGAGAGTAGCGTTGTACGGTTCTACAACTGTATCAGATACCTGAAATTATACACAAATAAGATGGTTTTAAAAAAAACTGGGAGCCACGGTGCCTAAGTGGGTAAGACGCTGGTTCACTAGTCTGGAGGTCGAGTGTTCAATTCCTGCATTGGCCGAGAAGGTTCATCGGGATTTTCCGACGTGGTTCCCCCTTGTCAGTGGTGCAGTACGGCTGCCCTGACAAGGACAGCTGTCTAGTCGTTCGAATGGTACGAAAAACCTAGGTCCCGTGTATACATTGGCATGCACGTAAAAGATCCCATGGCAGTTGGAATTCAATATAACAGTAGGCCATAGTGCCACTGCCCGGGTAAATTTTCCCTCATATCAAGTCTTCATTAGCCCAGTCGGGGCAGACCGGTAGGACGTTAAAACCCCATTTCATTTCATTTCTCATACTGGACTATTGCAAAAATCGAATGTTGGCGTTAGTAGCCAAATGCAACACTGTTTAGGAAAGTAATTTTAATACAGCACGATTTTGTCCAAGTATACAGCTAAATATTCTTACCTTAGGTGAAGGACAGACAGAGAAGGTGTTCATAATTCTATCTGGATATTCTTCACGGATTTTACTGATGAGGAGAGTTCCCATACCAGAACCAGTTCCACCACCTAGAGAATGGGTCAACTGGAATCCCTGTAGACAGTCACAGCTTTCAGCTTCTTTACGGACCACATCCAGAACTGAATCAACCAACTCGGCACCTTCTGTATAATGACCTTTAGCCCAGTTATTGCCAGCACCACTCTGACCAAAGACAAAATTATCTGGACGAAAGATCTGACCAAAAGGTCCTGATCGTACAGAATCCATGGTACCAGGTTCCAGATCGACGAGAACAGCTCTGGGAACATATTTTCCTCCTGTAGCTTCATTATAATAAACGTTGATTCTCTCCAACTGAAGATCAGAATCACCGTGGTAAGTTCCAGTTGGGTCGATACCATGTTCATCAGAGATTACTTCCCAGAACTGAAAAATAAGATTACAATTTGATTAAAGATCTGGAATCCATTTTTAAATCTTATAACAAAAAGATTCATGATTATAAACCTCGTGGGTTTTTTCCGGGACCTCCGGTTTCCTCCCGCTGCTAAAGACCCCTACGCGCAAGCGAATTATTGAAATAAAATTGAACCATATGTTAGTCCCGAAGTGAACTAGGCTGTGTCGAGTGGACGTTAACACCCTCCCTCTCTCTCACTCTCTCTCTCTCTCTCTCTCAAAGATTGCAGTATATTAACCTTAGCTCCGATCTGGTTACCACATTGACCAGTTTGCATATGAACGATTTCTCTCATGTTGAAAGTTTAAAGGGTTAACTGTGAAGACAACTGCGGAAGTCTTGATGCGAATATGGAAGATAGATTCAATGTTAACTTATATACATATACATCATGCCACGTGTCTCCAAGGTAATATTAATCCTATTAATCGTATTAAATAAGAGGATTAAATGGATTAATACACAACGAGATAATCTCTCTTTGTTTTTATAGTTTATAGTAACAGTGTCGTTATTACTTCATGAAACCAAATCATATCCAATTTTTGGATTGGGTTAAATATACTATATTTTACAGCTTACGGTTTCAAACCTCAACATTTCTCAAATAGGGTGTTGGAAAATTCAAATACTTAAATCAAATCAAATAAAGGCTAAAATGACGTTTGATAAACAAGCGATTCTGTTGCAAGCTATTGTATGTAATCGAGTTTAAACAGGAACAATTTCTAAATAATTAGATATATCTCATAATTGTGTGATTTACTGCCGATTTAGTAAATGGAGTCCAATGCCCAGAGAGAGAGAGAGAGAGAGAGAGAGAGAGAGAGGGGGGTAACTTCTACTCGACACAAAACAGGTCATTTCGATACTTACATATGGTTCAATTTTATTTCAATAATTTGCTTGCGCGTTGGGATCTATAGCGATGGAAGGAAACCGTGGAAAACCCACGAGGTTGGACAGGCGACACAACTCCTTGTCACGTACAACCGGGGACTATTTTGAGACAAAATATCTGACATCTTTGTAATATACACTGTGTAGTAAGCCTAACCTATATTATTATGTTTATGTCTGGTTGTATATTAGCCTTGTTAAACAGTATTACTGAAAACAACTGGTCGCCATGCAGTCAAGGGGGTTGGATGGCTGAATGGTTAGCGTGTGCGCGCTGTATCATAAAGTCTGTCATTGAGTCGACTGGCGTGGTTTCGAATCCCCGGTTGTACGTGACAAGTAGTAGGGTCGCCTGTCCAACCTCGTGGGTTTTCTCCGGGTCCTCCGGTTTCCTCCCACTGCTAAAGGCCCTACGCGCAAGCGAATTATAGAAATAAAATTAAACCATATGTTAGTCCCGAAATGACCTAGTTTGTGTCGAGTGGACGTTAAACTCCATTTCTCTCTCTCTCCCTCTCTTTCTCTCTCTCTCTCTCCATGCAGTCAACATTTAACAGCCATCGATCGATGGGACAATCTTGAGCCTCTCCTATATCGGATCTTTCTTTTAGGTGGTAGTTATACTAGGTATACTTAGGTGGTAGGTATACTTTCATCCGTCTAGAATCGTAGAAGATAGTTTGAATTTATATTTTCTGTCAGTCTATAGATTTCTTTTATCGGTGATAGCAAAAAAATCGAGATGGTCAACACCTTCAATATTTGATCGGATAAAGGCTTTTTGTGTTTAAAAAAAAAATAAAAATCATCGGAATGTTCATAAAAATGTTATAGGCCACGGAATAACATGCATCTAACTTTGAAGTCAAGATAATTACTAGTCTGATCCCTGTTTAATTTAGTGAGTTATTTGCCCTTTGTTGCTTTTGTAATTACTTATTTACTAGTCTGAATCCTGCTCTACTACTGAGTTATTTACCCTTTGTTGTTAAGTTGCGAAATGAGGTCAAATTGGACTTGAACAAGGTAAATATGGCATGTCAAAATAATTTGTTATATCGTAACAGTATGTTGGCTTTATGTCATACGACACGACTGAACGTAACTTCGTAAGTCTTCTGGTACGACTGAACGTAAATCAAAATCAAGTTTACTTTTTTTAAACTCGACTGAGTGGTAACGTGATCGAGTCCAGGGCTGCATGATCTGAGCTTAGATACGATACGGTCCATCAATCCATCATCCATGGTTATGCTATGCGTCCTATCGTGATAATCGATAGGTATACGTGTATATAAAATTATATATATGATTATATGTACCGCAGCCCCTAGGTTCTCAACCTTTTTTTGCCAACGGCACACCTTGGAACACATGAAAAAATAGTGGCACACTTGTAAATATATTATATATATGAAAAATATCAGAATTTTGCAAAATGAAGACATGACAAGTCATAGACGTTGTATACAACCCTAGACTAGTCATAGACACATAGAATGACTCAGACTAAATAAAGACAAACACAGCTATGGACTTAGGCTACTTATTGCAGTGTTTCGAATTTCACCAATCAATTGAATCAAATAGCTGGCTTCTTTAGTGAATAATTTTCGTAGTGTGCCGTTCAAAATTCCTTATACTTTAGTAATGATGTCTGATAGAGGCGGCTAACCTATAACTAAGCCCTAGCCTCTATCACTCAGAAATCGTTACTAAATATAGTAGTAAGTGCAGGAGGACCACACTACACATAAAACAAAAACCTACAAGATAAACCTGCGGACAAGACAGAAAATAGACATTGCACCAAATAAACAAATATCAAATCAAGTGAATGGATCTGGGGGCCAGCCATAAGCGTCCACTGCCTGTACAGTCCCGGGCCTGCAACTACCACTACAGGTAGGCCTTACAAAAGGTTTATTTTAAAGTGCTACCACGAGAGAGCCAAACAACTTATCCATCCCGTAACATAGATCAAAATTTAGCCTATAACTACAGACATGTTTGTTTTTACCTAGAAAGGGGGTCACCAGTCCAACCTCATGGGTTTCTCCGGTCATTTGTTACCTCCTACTACTACTAAAGACTCTTGCGTATTGGGGGGGTTGGATGGCCGAATGGTTAAAACCTGCGCGCTGTATCACAAGGCCTGTCATTGAGTCAACTGGCGTGGTTTCAAATCCCCGGTTGTACGTGACAAGGAGTATTGTTGCCTGTCCAACCTCGTGGGTTTTGTCTGGGTCCTCTGGTTTCCTCCCACTGCTAAAGCGCAAGCGAATTATTGAAATAAAATTAAAACCAGATGTTAGTCCCGAAATGACCTAGTTTGTGTCGAGTGGACGTTAAACCCCATTTCTCTCTCTTCTCTCACTTGCGTATTATTGAAAAACAAATTGAATCATGCCCTAGTCCCGGAATGACCTAGTTTGTGTTGAAGAGTGGATGTTAAACCCCATGATTCCTTGACAATTACACAACACAAATTTACGGATAAGACAATATACATACATTACAAACAAACAACGATATCAGATCAGTAAATGGATCCAGGGCCAGCTGCAAGCGTCCGCTGCACAGTATAGTCCTTGGCCTATAGTGATAATGGGGGGCACGGTGGCTAAGTGGATAAAATGCTGGCTTGCTAGCCTGGGGGTCGGGTGTTCCATCCCTACATTGGCGAGAAAGTTCATCCAGATTTTCAGGTGTGGTTCCCCCTTCAGTGATGCAGGACGAAGGGCCTGACAAGGGCAGCTATCTAGTCGTTCTGATGGGCCGAAAAACCGAGGTCCTGTGTACACAGTGGCGTGCACGTAAAAGATCCCTTGACAGTTGGAATTCGATATAAGAGTAGGCTGTAGTGCTGCAGTCCCTCATAGCGCACTGTGTGGTGTATGCCCATCTTCATTAGCCCAGTTCGGAGCAGAACAGTAAAACATTAAACCCCATTTCATTTCATTTCATTTCCATAGTGATACAGATTTTACTCAAAATGAGAAACGGGCTAACAACAAGGGAATAATTTCCAAACTTTGTATAATACTAGTGTGAGTCATAATCGACTATGTACTACATGAAATATAGGCCATTGAAGGAAAATATCTTTACAAGTAATTATTTATCACTGAATTTACCCAAGGGAACAGGTGAACAGGATTGTAGTTTGACTATAAATACAAACTGTCCAACTTTTTCTGTGAAAGCGCTGCACATTACAGTTCTTGTCAGATCGTTTTCAAATTTACATTTCTTGGTGGTAAAGGAGTATCTAAAAGAAATCTAAAATGTTCGCATTGGCCGAGAAAGTTCGTCGGGATTTTCCAATATGGTTTCCCCTTGTCAGTGGTGTAGAACCTGACATGGACACCTGTCTAGTCGTTCGGATGATACGAAAACCGATGTCTGTGTATACATTGGAGTGCACGAAAAGATCCCTCAGCAATTAATATTTGATATAAGAGTAGGCCGCAGTGCTGCTGTATGAGCAAAATTTCCCTCATAGCACACTGTATAGCAGTCTTCCTTAGCCCAGTTCAGAGCAGAATAGTAGGTTAATCCCCATTTCATTTCATTTCCAAACTGTTCAATTCCAATTTCAGAGTTATCTCCCCTGTTATGTTCAACTATGTAGGATAAAGTTGATATTTTGTCTGAGAAGACAATATAGAGATTCACCTTTCAAACTGATGAAATATTATTGATACTTAAACACCTACTTACGCAAGTAATTCCTGGGGAGCTACGGTGGCTCAGTGAGTAAGATGTTGGCTCGCTATATCCTGGAGGTCTCGTTTTCATTCCCTGCATTGGCCGAGAAAGTTCATCTGGATTTTTCGGAATGGTTCTTCCTGGTCAGTGGTGCAGGACCGGGGCCCTGGCAAGGGACAATTTATAGTTGTTAGGATGGAATGAAAAAACGAGGTCCTGTATACAGATTAGTGTGCACGTAAAAAGGATCCCTTGACTGTCCACTGCCTGGACAAAATTTCCCTCAAAGCACACTGTATGGTGTATGCCCGTCTTCATTAGCCCAGTCGCAGTAAGACGTTCCTGTTTCATTTCATTTCTGGGCAATAATTTTTCTAGGCTTTAAAAAAAGTACAGTAATGAAATGATATTCTTTACGACTGTCGATGAAGGTCAGTTTTGCATTTTGTTATTGTTAATTTCATTATTCATACATTATTTGCATTTTCTAAATATTTGACTATTTTATGTTTTAGGAATTAAAGAATAATTAAAGAATAATTACAATGGGTGCTGAGCAGAGTAGTAACAAAGGACAGGTGCTGAGTAAATCTGGTGAAGAACCAAAATATGTTCAACAACAAGAGCCTCCTTATCCTGGTCCAGCCCCAGAATACAAATTTATCAACACAAATGTTTCCATTGGTGCTAAGTTTGCTTTTGGTGGTGGAGCTGGTCAGGAACTAGTTACCAGCAGTGTAGATTCCTACTACCCATTTCTAGCTTCACAATATGCAGAGGGTTTTAGATTGTTGAGTTTTGTCAGGACTCCACAACAGCTTCGCGAGGGAGGTTTGTTTTGCACGTCTGTCAGTGTACCTTTTCAAGGTATTTTATGTCGTTATCCGTATCAAAACGAGGGATGGAGATTACAGGTGGAAAAATCTGTTATTCAAACACAATTTGTATATAATGGAATCATCAGTTGTAATTCAGCATCTGTAGCTGATGCTTCATCACTAACACAGTCTATTATTAATAATACACAAATTGGTGGCCGTCTACTGTGTGTGGAATTGACAGGACAAGAAATATCTCAAGGATTTTCTGCAGGTTTTGCAGGACGCTCCCCAAGTAAGTTTTTCGCTCAACTATTTTCTTGTTTCTTTAAATATATATTATGCAAGAGCTAAATCTGTCTATTGCAGGTCTATGATCTATAGGCCTGAAATGATATCTAAATTATTAATTAGACATTAATTAACTGATCCAGACCATAATCAACTCTCGATGTCATCGCCAGCCTACGATATTTAGAGGATTAGAATACATTTTTTGAAAAATAATTAAAGTAAAAATGGATTATTGTACCGACTTTATTGACTAGCCAAAAATTCAAACGCTAATATCTCGGTTCAAAGTGGAGTAATTTGACTGACATTTTCAGCATATTCTGTTTTCTTTATCTATTTTTTGTACTATTATAGCGAGAACTGTCAATTCTTATCTAATCTCCCATAATGACCCTTTAGGCCTGAAATGTTATCTAAATTATTAATTAGACATTAATTAACTTATCCAGACCATAATCAACTCTTGGTGCCATCGCTAGCCTGCGATATTTACTGGATTTGAATCCGATCTGCTGCTCAACGCTCATTGATGATTAAATCCAAAAATGGATAATCGAGACTATGTTTTTTATCGTACCGACTTAAGTAATGATGATCGAGGCTATATTTAAAATTCAAAAGCTAATATCTCGGTTCAGAGTGGAGCAATTTGACTAAAATTTTCAACATATTCTATTTACTTTATTTTATTTTTTTTTTAACTATTAAAGCGAGAACAGTCAACTCTTTATCTTATCTCCCATAATGTATCTTTAAATGGTGTTGATGTTTAAATTTTTTTTTTCAAACATTCTGGTTGAATTGATAATCAGGATCATACAAAATTGGCCCAGTTGTTATCAGAACATTGTGAATACTCTAAAAAATCATTGGTCCTTTTGATTCACACAATAACCTATTTTATTGATTTATTTTTAATATTATTTGTATTTTATTTCTGGTACATGATATTGATTTATTTTAGCAGGTGTTGGTTGGCCGAATGGTTAGCGTTTGCGCGTTGTATCATAAGGTCTATCATAAGGTCTGTCATTGAGTCAACTGGCGTGGGTTCTATTACCCGGTTGTATGTGGCAAGGAGTAGGGTCGCCTGTCCAAACTCTGGTTTCCTCCCACTGCTAAAGACCCCATATGCGCAAGCGAATTATTGAAATAAAATTGAACCATATGTTAGTCCCGAAATGATCTAGTTTGTGTCTAATGGACATTTATCCCCATCTCTCTCCCTCCCTCTCTCTGTTTCTCTCTCTCTCTCTCTCTGACTTATTTTAATGTTATTTGTTGGTTTTCTTCCAGCAGGACGAAGGGCCTGACAAGGAGAGCTGTCCAGTCGTTTGGATGGGACGAAAAACCGAGGTCCCGTGTACACATTGGCATGCACGTAAAAGATCCCTTGACAGTTGGAATTTGATATAAGAGTAAGCCGTAGTGCTGCTGTCCGGGCAAAATTTCCCTCATAGCACACTGTATGGCATATGCCCGTCTTCATTAGCCCAGTTCAGAGCAGAACAGTAGGACGTTAAACCCCATTTTATTTCATTTGTTTTCCTCCAATATATGGTGTTGATTTATTTTAATGTTATTTGTTTTTGTTTTCTTCCAGTACATGGCGTTGATTTATTTTATGAGATACCAACTCATCCCAATCCTGAAATCTACACTTACCAAATAGTACCAGTCAACATAGAAATATACGTCAACTTCGGACGTTCAATAACGATTGGATGTGACTGGGCAGGAATATTGGGAAACTATCTGTCACAGGGATGGCGACTGGTTGAAGTTTTTCTCGACAGTGGCAAGACAAATCCCAAATTTCTGTCAACCACCTCGGCGGTAAGCAGCATGTGGTTCTTCGAAAAGCCGTCGTCCGCAGCACAAGACCCAAGGCCACGGTACCAGGGAACGTATGTAGAACATATGGTGCCGGTTAGAGCTGGTTTTAGCGGAGCACATTCTGAATGTGGTTGGGAAGGCAGGGTACAAGAAATGGGACGAAATGGTTGGGAATTGGCTAGTGTTCTCCAGACTCCTGAAATTCATTATCAAGGTGGATTTTCTGGTTCATATGATATAAAATTCATCTTGTTCTTTCAAAGACAGATTGTTTATCATGGAGGGGCCGCTCCACCAATGCCTCAAATGCCACCCCAAGGACCCAATCCTCCATCTTATGATTCTCTCCAGGTAAAGAATTAAGAGTTGGTATTTCTAAAGTCCAACCTTATGGGTTTCCTCCCACTGTTAAAGACCTCTATGGGCAAGCGAATTATTGAAATAAAATTGAATCATATATGTTAGTCCCGAAATGACCTGGTTTGTGTCGAGTGGACGTTACACCCCATTTCTCTCCCCCTAACTCTTTTTCTAAAGAGAACAAATCTATGGATATGGGTCTGACAAACATGTAGTTATGGTTGCTCTGTTGTGGATTTATAACAAGGACTAATCTTATTAAACTCTTTCTTAAATATATATCCACGAATAGAAGGCAAAGAATAAAAATAAAGATTATTGTTGTCGGCCTTGATATTTCAAAATCTGGAATAAGCCTACTGTTGATTTAAACAAATTGATTTGAAATTATTTCAATTTGCTTTAGACTCCTGTAGATTTCATACTGTGTCTTAGTGATTTGAAATTGTGAACTGCCACACTGAACCGAGGATTAAGTTTCCTTATTTTAAACAAGATTGGGACAGAATAAATTTAACTTAATTCTTAAATAGAAGTTGTTACATTTATCAAAATTTGTTATTGTTTTTTTTTCAAAGAAAATATTATAACTTTCACTTCTTTATCAGAACTGCTAATGGGGTGCTTGGGATTTATACACTAAACAATATGAGGGAGGGGTAGCACGCGCTGTATCATAAGATCTGTCTTTGAGTCATCTGGTGTGGTTTCAATTCCCCTGTTGTACATGACAAGGAGTAGGGTCATCTGTCCAACCTCATGGGTTTTCCCCGGGTCCTCCAGTTTCCTCCCACTGCTAAAGACAAATGCGCGAAAGTGGATTATTGAAATAAAATTGAACCATATGTTAGTCCCAAAATGACCTAATCTCTCTCTCATTTGTTGAAAGAATAAAAATTATATTATGCGCACATGTCACTGTCATTTTAATTTATTGCTTAAACATACATTATGCAATTTCGCTAAATCTGCCTATTACAGGTCTTTCTTTAGGCCTGAAATGTTATCTAAATTAATAATTAGACATTAATTAACTTATCCAGACCATAATCAACTCTAGATGCCTTTGCTATCCTGTGATATTTAGCAGATGGGAATACATTTTGTGATGGGATAATTTAACGTAAAAATGGATAATCAAGACTTTGTTTATTATCGTACCAATGTTAGTAATGATGATCGAGACTAGGCTAAAATTGAATCACTATTATCTCTGTCCAGAGTAAAGCAATTTGACTGAAATTTTCAGCATATTCTATTTTCATTATCTGGTTTTTTTTTTTTAACTATTATATCAAGAACTGTCAACTCTTTATCTAATCTTACCTAATGTCCCTTTAAAGGTGGAATAGCTTGTACTTCAAGTCTTGCACTGTTGAAACTATTTTAATAGGTAGAAGATTATGACTAAACTTTAACAAGAGTCTGCAATGGCCGTGTTTCTTCTTAAAGTTTTGTGTGACAGGTTACAATTATTTACCTTTAGAGGAAAATGATATTATGTTGTAGGTAAATGTATATTAACCACATTTAAAAAAAAGCCTTATTTTACATGGTAAATACTGTTTATATATATGTATGTGTAATAATTTTATTACTACTTTGGACCTTAAACCCCATTTCACTTAATTTTATTTTAGTACTATTGATATATTAAGTTTAATAATTTTATTACTAGTGATATATTATGTTTGATAATTGTATTACTAGTGATAATTTTATTACTGTGATAATATTATGTTTAATAATTTGATATATTATGTTTAATAATTTTATTGTTATTAATTACTTTGTCTGTATAGCCAATACACGAAGTATTGTTTGGGATAGTGTACGACTCTTCTATACACATATTTAAAGTGGATGTAAACTGTTTTGTGTTCAGATAACAATAACAAAAGGGTGACAGTGTTTAAGGGTACCATGGTTCCCACGTCAAAATTCTCACTGTCGGTCATTTTTTATAACGCGCGAAACCTTTTCAAATTAAATTTATATTCCGTGTTTTTTTGTTTATGGTAAGGTTTCGTGAATTCCTTTGTCTACACCACTTTGTGTCAGTACACATACAATTAAATATTGGACTAATAGGGCTTATAATAATTAATATTTAATGGAATATTCACCTATATATTCCCTTTTGGCTATTTAAATAGCTTTTATTATCGAAATTTCTTTCTTGGTTAAAGACAAATGATGAACTGGATTGGCCGTAGAAAAAAAAAAAAATCATTCCAGTCACTCACACGTATTACCACGTGCTCTATAGAAAACACAGTGACCGTGGTAATTTTGAGTTGTGACATAAGATAAATATATAATTATCCACATTGCACACATTATCCGTTTTAGACCATCTCTTATAACATTACCGTCAATACAATTATGACGTAAATCCTTACCACTACTTTACCACACTGATCCGCAGTGAATATTTGCTTGGCCGCGACAATCACTGATAAGGATGACATTGATGTGGCTTAATTAGCTAGAAATATTAACTTTTTTCCTGCGACAAATTAAATTCTAAAGCATTTTTTGTATATATTGGAAAAATAAATAAAGGCGTTTGACGTATTTGTAGTTAAAAATTATTTCCGATTTAGTGTAAATGGGTATTAAAATGACTAAAATGCAGCATTCTCTCCGAAGCAGTTATGTCTTATGTAAACAATGCACGCGCCATTCAGCCAATAATTCACACCGCGTGCTGTGACAGCACGTGTTAAGGCAGTCATCTATGACAGATATTATACGAGACTCGTAATTCTCTGTGAAACATATTATTATACGAGACTCGTAATTCTCTGTGAAACAGATTGCTACTTTACCGCTGGCGAAACTAGCGCCCCCTTGAATATCGTCGTGCATAATCAGAGTAACCATAATATGTACTACATTTTTGCGACACGCGAATTTCAATATTGCTACTTGAATTACTGATGTAATTTCAAAAGATACCGTTATATAAAAAAGACAGATGTTGTTTCGACATTAGAAACTATTCACCTGCCCCGCCTCGTGGGTTTTCTCCGGGTGCTTCGGTTTCTTCCCACTGCTAAAGACCCCTACACTCAAGCGGATTATTGAACTAAAATTGAACCATGCGTTAGTCCCGAAACGATCTAGTTTGTGTCAAGTGGATGATCTATCTCTCTCTCTCTCTCTCTCTCTCTCTCTCTCTTATTGAGAAAAAATTAGTTCATTAGAATTATATTATTATCTTTAAGTATTACTTTTATATATTAAGAATAATTTGCCTGTTGTGAAAAAATGAAGTGCAATTGTTTTATAGATTTGTCATAACATTAAAGGTTTTAACCTTATACAATTGTTTAAACATACATTATGCAAAAGGTAAATCTGCCTATTGCAGGTCTTTCTTTAGGCCTGAAATGTTATCTAAATTATTAATTAGACATTAATTAACCTACCCAGACCATAATCAACTCTAGATATCTAATCTCCCTTATGCCTCTTTAACAGTTGGTTTGTTTCAAATGAGTTTGAACAATCTATTTTTAACAGTTGAGTTTGATGAAGCTTGTTTTGTTGAGGAAGCTTTGTGTTAATATTTGGCACCACACTTGTCTGTATCACCTTTCGTGATAAAATTGTCTTACTAGTGTTATAGTTTTGTTATATTTTAGTTTTATATTTTTTAATTTCAAACTAACGATGAGCTCAATTTTCGAAGTTCTACATTGTAGCTTCTTAAACAAGACATGTACATTTTACAGTATGCATATATAATGTGTTAAGAATTTCTTTTGGAGTCATTTAATTTAATATTATGGCAATGGCAACAATAAAGATTTTTATTTTAACTTTCCATATTTTAAATGAGATTTTGACATAATTAATTTTAACTTAATTGTTAAATGTAAATGTGGTTGTATATTTTCGTCGCCTCCGTCCCTCGGTGGACGCTCTAGGGGCCAAAGTTAATATCCGATTGACTTTAAATTTATACACAGTGTTTAAGGTCATGAGACGAAGAATTCTATTGATTTTGGGCGATTTGTTAAAAATAAGTTGTTATTGTATTTTTTTTTAAAGAAATCAATGATCATACTATTATTCAAAATTACTTTACATCCTGATAATAGGTCACATATGAAATAAGGGAAATCTGAGACTCTATTGAATGTGTTACCTGACAGAATATCATTGTCATTGATAGAAAGTTGGTTTGATTACATTCTGAGACTGTATTGAATGTGTTACCTGTCAGAATATCATTGTCATAGATAGAAAGTTGGTTTGATAACAATCTGAGACTATTGAATGTGTTACCTGACAGAATATCATTGTCATTGATAGAAAGTTGGTTTGATTACATTCTGAGACTCTATTGAATGTGTTACCTGACAGAATATCACTGTCATAGATAGAAAGTTGGTTTGATTACAATCTGAGACTATTGAATGTGTTAACTGACAGAATATCATTGTCATTGATAGAAAGTTGGTTAAATTACAATCTGAGACTATTGAATGTGTTACCTGACAGAATATCATTGTCATTGATAGAAAATTGGTTTGATTACATTCTGAGACTCTATTGAATGTGTTACCTGACAGAATATCATTGTCATAGATAGAAAGTTGGTTTGATTACACTCTGAGACTATTGAATGTGTTAACTGACAGAATATCATTGTCATTGATAGAAAGTTGGTTAAATTACAATCTGAGACTCTATTGAATGTGTTACCTGACAAAATATCTTGATCATAGATAGACAGTTGCTTTGATTACAATCTGAGACTGTATTGAATGTGTTACCTGACAGAATATCATTGTCATAGATAGAAAGTTGGTTTGATTACAATCTGAGACTCTATTGAATGTGTTACCTGACAGAATATCTTGATCATAGATAGAAAGTTGGTTTGATTACATTCTGAGACTGTATTGAATGTGTTACCTGACAGAATATCATTGTCATAGATAGAAAGTTGGTTTGATTACAATCTGAGACTCTATTGAATGTGTTACCTGACAGAATATCTTGATCATAGATAGACAGTTGGTTTGATTACAATCTCAAAATAAAAATTATAATCAGATCGCTTTCTTGCCTCCAACCTCTTCTCGGGTTTCTGTTGGTTTCACTGATTATATTTGCTCACTTTTATGCCTTCGTTTTAAATGGACTTTATACCAAATTTACAATGATTGTATCATAAATGGTTGTAATTAAATAAGAAGTTTCTTTGATAATAATTTTAATATGTATCAATATCTGTTAATCTGATCTGGAATTTATATTATATTATTTTAATTATTCACTTGTTAAACTTTTCTTTTTAAATATACATCTTTTGCACCTATGCTTTATTTTCGTAGTTTGCCCACCTTTAAGGTGGACGTATATTGTCACCTTCGTCCGTCAAATCGTTACATATGACTGTTGTCATAATTTCTTGTGGAATCTCTAACCTACTGGTCAGAGTTGTCGACCGACTGAAGAACCCTATCGAACTTCAGGATATTGAATTTTAACATTTTGGGGTTTCAATTTCAAAAGCAATCTGATTAAAACACAGATCTATATTTCGTTTCGTTTTGTTTTTTTATACTTTTGATGACCTACACTACATGAAGATCAGACCGGTTGTAGTGGAAGTCACGTCATAGGTCATACGAGCGGCTTTTGGCCCTATGACGTCAGACATTTGATTAACCAACCTGCGTTGATGTTTCTAGTTGATCGCTCACAGTTCCGTGCAGCTCACGGTAAAAACTCACATATAGACCCTTTCATTGGCTAATCCCTAACACCATCCAGAACACGTCAATGATAACAACTCATCCAGATCCTCGTGTAGAAAAGACAAGAAAAACGGAATTTTGAACTATAATAAACGAGACGAAATAGGATCTGTGTTTTAATCAGAATAAGTCTTCTATATGGGAGATATTTTGTCTGGACAGATGCGCTAAGGCTTCTTTTATTTCCATTCCAATTATCAGAGATTCTTTTACGTAGGTCCATAACCAAGGTGGGGGGGGGGGGCACAGGGGGGCTTTCCCCTGCAAACAGTTTCGGCCCCCCCCACCCCGTGAAAAAATTTCGACCCTAAAAAATATACATTGTCCGTCAATATTACAGCACCCCTGAGAACACATCCCGCCCCCCTTGTTGCTCTGAGCTAGTTACGATCCTGCTTTTACGCCAACAAGCACACAAACCCTCATAGTTTTTGTCCCATCCAAATGACTAGACATTGTTCATTGCCAGGCTGTATCATGAACAAGAGGAAATCACCAGAATTGAATCCCGGATCCTCTGGTTATTGAGCCAGTAATAATAGTTTATAATGTTAAATATATACTAAACAGCAAAAAAAAAACGTCAGTACGATTTCAAAATCAGAGAGGCACTTTAATCAAATCATTCCAGAAAACGACTTACTAAATGGATCAAGGCAATTTTTTGTGAACAGTATGTTGACACACAAGTGATTAATTCATCACAATTCCAAGACGTTACGAGAAGGTTTAGAGTCTGTACACAGACCAGACGATTGATGAATGTCATTGGCACCTGGAACCACACTCTCAGAAAAGCCTTGCGCAATCTCGGTACAGCGTTATTAAGTCTCCTGTGAATTGCACCCCAAAGATGACGTGCGAAATGTGGTATGACGTGGGTCCGAGAGCTTGATTGATGTAGCGCACTGCTGTGATGTCACCTCCTCTCTCTGGACCACAGGCCGATTCCACCCAAACCATTATGCTTGGACCTCCCCATGAATCTCGTTACATGACACATTGGTCAGAATAACGCTGGCCACGTCGACGCCATATTCTGGTCCTGCCATCTGCAGTTGATACGCAATACCGACTCTCATCTGTGAACAAAACAGTTCTCCATAGCCTGTGTCGACAGTTCTGGTGTTGTTGGGCAAACTATAGACGTTCACGTCAATGGCGAGGGGTGAGGATCGGTCTACGGTAAGGTCTACGGCAATGGATGTTCTCTCTGGTGAGACGTCGGCACACTGTATCGGTACTGATGGGTCTTCCGTGTGTTCCCACTGTCTGACGTGCTGTCTCAGATGCCTGTGTGAAGGGATTCTGCACGTACTGTCGCACAACATGGTGGTCTTGTCGCCTTGTGGTAACCCTTGGTCTACCAGTTCGGGGGCGATTATCCGTGGTGTTGGTGGCCCGAATGTGTTGCTGAATCCGGTAGATGGTCCAAACATTGACCTGGAAATGATTGACAACGGCTTGGGAAGTGTGACCAGCGTTGAGTCTTCCAAGCACCTGGTTCCTCTGAGCTGCCGTGAGTCGTGGCATTCCGCTGACATAGTGTGAATGATTCAACCAGGTATGGGGATCAATTTTATAGGGCTGGCCTTTTTGAACAGCACTTGCAATATGAGTTACATGAAAATCATGGAGAACACATTACCATCTCAGAAGTCAGGTTGCGTTTTTTTAGAACATTTCCTGGGTTCAATTCTGTGTTTGGGAAGGAGCCTTATTGCTCAGGTAAAGTTGGAGATGTGGTCACAAATATACAATAAAAACATTTGGCAAGTTTTATGCAATGCGTCTATTCAGAGTAACATACCAACCCGACGTTTCTTTTGCTGCTTAGTATAGTAGGTTGTAAGTATGCTATATTAGAACCAGGATAAAGGAAACTGATGACTGTACAAGAGGATGTAGATTACAACATATCTCTGAATACCAGCAGATATATCTTCCTGGTTTCAAGTTTATATAATACAATACATTACCAACTCAAATATGTCATTCAAGGAGCCGTCCCGGATATATTTTAATGAATACATGAAGAGAATTGGTTAACTCTAGAAAACATCGTTATCCCGTACAACTGTGACTAGAGTCATCATATCTGTTGTAATAATCTTAATTAAAGATACACTATGGGAGATAAGATAAAGAGATGGCAGTTCTCTCTATAATAGTTAAAAACTAGATAACGTAAAGGCAATTTGCTGAAAATTTCATTCAAATTGATCCACTATGAGCCGAGAATGAAGCGGGTGAAATTTTCGCATAGTCTCGGTCATCATTACTAAAATCATTAATATAAACAGCATAGTCTCGATTATCCACTGTTTTGATTTAATTATCAATGGCCGTTAAGCGGCATATAGGAATCTAATCCAGCCAACATCGAAGGCTAGCGTTGATATCAAGAGTTTATTATGGTCTGGATATGTTTTAACATGTCTAATTGATAATTTAGATAACATTTCAGGCCTAAAGAAAGACTTGTAATAAGCAGATTTTGCCCTTGCATAATGCATGTTTAATAGTTTTACATCTTAGAGCAAGATAGGACAATATAGTAAAAGGAAAGTAGTCATAAAAGATCGGGGCCGAATTATAGAAGGGTGGGAGGGGGGGGGGGGGCTAGGACGCAGCCAGAGGCCACCAGATTACTCCTAAAAAGTGTTGTATTTTGTATTAATAATTTGATGATTTTATTTATTATGTTGTATAGGTTTGTGGCAATTAAATAGATTATATGTCTACCATACCAACGTACAGATTGTGAAATGAGGTTTAACGCCCTACTGTTCTGCTCCTAAACTGGGCTAATGAAGACGGGCATACGTCATACAGTGTGCTATGAGGGAAACTTTGCCCGGGCAGCGGCGCTACGGCCTACTCTTATATCGAATTCAAACTGCCAAGGGATCTTTTACGTGCACGCCAATGTGTACACGGGACCTCGGTTTTTCGTCCCACCCGAACGTATTTGTCCCACCCGAACATATCTGGCCCTGTAACAGATTAGGGCCAGATAATTAGCCATGTAGACATATAACATGTATCTTGTTGATGCAAGGGCCCCAGTGACATGTAACAGATTAGGGCCAGATACAAGGGACCTCAGTAACATGTTCAGACAGGTGTTCCATGTAACCATATTCCGGCCCTGTAACAGATTAGGGCCGGATAATTAAGCCTTGTAGACCTACCTACAACATATATCATTCTTGTTTTATTTTCTTGTATTTTTTTTACATGTCTTTAATTCTGTTTTATTTATTTAATTAAATACCTGTATTATACAGTTGTAGATCTAAAGACAGAATAGTTAAAATGAGAATAGAGTATGGGCCTATATGTGAATGTATAGGCCTATACTGTGTAAGACTCCACACAAAAATAAGCTTATATATATTTTTCTTTTTCTAAAATACAAAATGGATTAAGTTCCTATAAGTATATGAAAGATCACTAGTGCCAATCAAATGGAAAAAAAATACGACGTAATCATCTCCTAATTACGACATGTTTTAAAGGTCGCCATACACAGATTTGCCGGATAGCTGGGCCATCGCCCATACAAAAACTAGGTTGCAGTCAGCGCGTTTGTGTCCTGCTCTCATTAATATCAATAATTAATTCCATGAGCCCATTAAATCAGCATTATGGAATATAGGTGTTTGTCTTTGTTCCATATTTTGTATATATATATCTTCAGTGCACTATGGTTGTCATTCTTTGCATGATAACGACGAGAGAAACCTCGTCGAAACGTCGCTGTAATAAACTCTTCAAGTAACTTGTATTCTATATAATTGTGTCATGTGTGATTAACAGTCCCTCAAATAAGGCTCGAGAACTATAATATAATTCATTGTAGATATATCTATCTATATATATCATCTATATATATATTTGTGACTGTCGTTTGTCTGTCTGTCTGTCTGTCTGTCTGTTCGGGGTTGGCGGCTACACTAGGTCTGCCCCGAGTCTGAAATTTGGGGTATAGGGGTAGCTCGGACCGGGGAGTAACATAGGCCAGGTGGCGTTATTCTACCACTTCCGGTTTCGGAGTTATGACCCCCGAGCGAAGCCGGGTATCCTGCTAGTATTTAGATAAAGCGCTGGTCGTTCTTTCTACAATAGATCAAAAATAGATAATGTAAAATGAGTACATCGAAAATTTCAGTCAAATATTCGGAAATTTGACAAAAATAGTCACAAATTTTGCGACTCCGGTCATATTATTGTTTAACGCAGACGTGTCTAATCAACTCGGCACTCAATATGCCATAGAGAGTTGATTAAGAGCTTTTTATGTGAATAAATGTCTAAATAATAATTAATATAACATTTGAAGCTAGAAAAACGCCGTTAAAATGCATCTTTAATATCATGTCCTCGTTAAGACAAGTGGAGACCTCAAAAAAGTGTTGTAATTACGGAACTACCTATGTCGTAATTACGAGATTGGCCCTAATGGTTTTCCGTAGTTGCATATGTTTTCTACAGCAATCACAAACTAAGTTGGGGGTGGGGGGGACTAGGGGTCTAGGGTGTCAGGCTTCAATCTCTAGCTGGCCGGTCTCAATCTCAGGCGTGAGCGTATGTTGCTTGGAGAAAAGGCGCTAAGAAAATGAAAATAGGACAACGTGTCTGCGATATCTTCCTCGATTGAAGCGGGCGTTAAACACCAAGAAGAACAGCAACAATTGATTGATTTTAATTCCACTCTACTCCATTTTCAGTAAAGAGGCATTATGGGAGATTAGTTCTCGATATAATAGTTAAAAACTAGATAATGTAAAGGGAATTTGCTGAAAATTTTAGTCAAATTGCTCGGCACTGAACTGAGATATTAACTTTTAAATTTTAGGCCTACCCGCGATCATCATTACTAAAGTCGATACGATAAAAAACAAAGTCTCGATTATCCACGTTTACGTTTAATTATTTTTCAAAAAATGTGTTCCAATCCGCTAAATATCGCAGAGTTGATTATGATCTGGATAAGTTAATTAATGTCTAATTAATAATTTATATAACATTTCAGGCCAAAATAAAGACTTGCAATTGGCAGATTTAGCTCTTGCATAATGTATGTTTAATAGTTTATATAACATTTCAGGCCTAAAAAAACACCTGCAATAGGCAGATCTAGCTCTTGCATAATGTATGATTAAATATTGTTAATTAAACTTGAAACGATATTTTTATTACAAGATTAATATCTAGATATCAATCAACGTATGTCGGTACAATATGAAATGGTAATATATACTCCGCCGATGTCAAGACTAATGTGTCGGGTAAAACGATATTTTATTTTATAGTATTATTGTCTTTTCTATTTATTTAGTTTTGCCATGTTATTTGAACTATTCATGAAGTTATAAGAATCGGGTCAAATAAAACTGATTTATTTCTAATAGTAAGTTCCGGTGTGTGGGAGGCAACTCACACAAACAAAACCGAAAAGATAAAATGAAATGAAATGGGGTTTAACGTCCTATACTCCAACTGGGCTAATGAAGATGGGCATAGGCCATGCAGTGTACTATGAGGGTAATTTTGCCCGGACAGCGGTGCTACGACCTACTCTTATTTCGGATTCAAACCGTCAAATTGTTCTTTTACGTGCATGCCAATGTGTAAATGGGACCTGGCAATTGAACACGGTTAGCGAGCCAACGTCTACCCACTGAGCCATCGTGTCTCCCCGGAAAAGACAAACTACACAGACATTGCAAATACCTTTTCAGTACCACGTGTACCATGTCCCTCCCTGACTTTTTGGAATTTTGCAATTGAGAGTTTCAAAGGCTACTTAAAAAATCAAATTGCATATTAAAACATCTGACCGTAACTGTTCATTGCACTTCACCAAAACATTTTATAAATCTGATGTGCATACAAGGAATGTAATTTACAATGCACATCCCTTCAAAACTATAAATAACGGAAGGTCCAATTATTCAATTTTCTATCAAACAAACTGTACGTATCCTCTCGCCCCCCTAAAAAACAACAAAACAAACAGACCAACTGACAAAATATGTTCCTAATATCTGCCAAAGTGAGGTACAAATGGCCCTTTTCCTATTTGACTTTTTGGGTCGCCCGTGTTTGCAATTGAATCCGCCCTTGTCACCATCCTGATAGTCGACACTACTAGGAAGATACATTGTGGTGTTGTTTTTAATATTTTTAAAATTTAAAATGTTACAGTTAGTTAACACTACAGTTCAGTTGTAGTAAACATGTTGTTCTACGAGATAGGAGTGTTATTTTGTTTCATGTGGAATTGGTATTATTCTGATGCAGGTAATATTTTATAGATTTTACCTACTAAAAGTTTTAATGTTGCTGGAAGTTGATTAATTTATTAAATGATTGAACTGATTAAAAAAACATTGCACTGGTATAATATGGATAAAAATACTTTTACTGGGAGGGGGTGGGGGTGGGGGTGGGGGTGCAGGAGTTAGAGAGGGCCAAGGATTTACTACATCACCCTTATATACCCCCGCCCCCAGTAAGTAAATATTTCGTAAGCTGAAGAAAATCGGTAATTTATTATGAAGAAAGTCTGTTAGATGAATAGACGTATACAGTATGCTAGTCCAATTAAAATTTGGGGGATTGGATGGCCGAATGGATAGCACGCGCGTGCTGTATCATAAGGTGTGGTTTCGAATATTCCCGGTTGTACGTGACAAGGAGTAGGGTCGCCTGTCCAACCTCGTGGGTTTTCTCCGGGTGCTTCGGTTTCCTCACACTGCTAAAAGGCCCCTACGCGCAAGCGAATTATTGAAATAAAATTGAACCATGTGTTAGTCCCGAATTGACCTAGTTTGTGTCGAGTGGACGTTAAACCCCATTTCTCTCTCTCTCCAATTAAAATTTCGTTTATTTTTCTGTTTTAAAACAACATTTTAAACTAACTAAAATTACATCACGACGCTGTTGTGTCAGAAGTAGAAACGTTTATTTGCTTGGTTAAAGTTTCTCAGCTATAAGCCGAACGTGCTAGCTAAACAATCATGAAATCATTGTTCCGATCAATTTGTTCGCCGTCTGCGGGTCGAAAAAACACGAACAAAAATGTTCCCAAAAACGTTTTCGTGCAATCGAAATTGTTAGATATTTGGAAATCAGTTCGTCGTCTGCGTTGAAGCTGAATAGTCGCGGAACATTTATTTTCCACTCAGCACGAATCAGGGATCACATGAAATTGTGTGCCATTTTGAAATCACGTGATTTGTGTTCCCTCGTCTGCGTTCGGTTTTATGGAGAGCATGTACGCCATTTTGTATCCATTTTAATTCCTATACGGTAATTAATAATTCAATATCGACCTTTCCAGACTGCGTGAAGACGTCTCAACATACGAAACTCTGGAATTTAATAATAACACATTGGAATGCATACGGAACAGACATTTTAGTTAGTCAAAATGTATAGTACACATGATCATATTTATTTTATTATTTGTTAGAAAGTGTTTAGTCGTTCGGATGGTACGAAAAACTGTTTCCGTATACACATTTGCGTGCACGTAAAAGATCCCTTGGCAGTTGGAATTATTACACAATCTGTCCGATCGGGGCGTAACCAATCCCAGACTAAATACTGACCAATCAGGTTACAGTGCATGGGTGTTGTATCTGGAATTCAAGGCTGGACATCGATCTTGCCCAGTACTATATAAGACCAGATCAAAACGATTGTCTGCGATATCACCTCGGTGGAAGCGGACGTAAAATACAATTAACTCATCATCATCATCATCGATTGTCTGCGATATCACCTCGGTGGAGGCGGACGTAAAATACAACTAACTCACACACACACGATTGTAGTGAATCCAGGTCAGAGACCAAATCCTGAAGCAATGGCCCGAGAAGTCCCTCTCCCGTCCTACATCACTGACAAGGGGGAATCCGCCGGAAAATCTGGATGGACTTTCTTGGCCAATGCAGGGATCGAACACCCGACCTCCAGGCTGGCTTAACATCCATTCGTTGCAAACTAAATTATTTCAATAATTCGTTTGCACGTTGGTGTCTTTAGCAGTGGATAGAAGCTGGCGTATCCGAAGAAAACCCACAAGGTTGGACAAGCGACCCTACTCCCTTGTCATGTTTAAGCGGGGAATCGAAACCACACCACTTGAATCAATGTTAGACCTTGTGATTTCACGCGCACGTGTTAAACCACTAGACCACCCAATCCCCATGTATGTTGTTGTATATTGTATATATCGGTACGGGAAATTTGTTTTATAATAGGCCTATATAATAAATTAAATTGTTATAGCCTAAGGTGTTTTGGGGTTTTTTTTATCAGACATTTTTGGCAGATAAAATATCCCAGTTGGCGGAAAAAAATATGAACATTTTTTTTATATAAAAATTATTATCCATTTTGACGGAAAAGAATGAAATGCAGTGTGAGCCCTGATTGCACGTATTCAAATATGCGACCTGGAAAACTGAGACAACTTCCTAGGCGAAAAGTCGCTAATAGCGTGGTGTGTTAATTTCCTAATTTCTACTTTTCGAGTTGCATTTTGGCTTGGTATGCGTGTTGGCGCCTTCTTACTGACATCAATAGATACAAAAATATCGAAAGTCGAAAGTCGACAAGACGGTATACAAGCCAAAATGCAAGTCGAAAACAAGAAATTAGGAAAAAACGAGGTGCGCTATTATCGCTGTGTATTATTTCTTAATTTCCTATTTTCGAGTTGATTTGGGCTTGTATACCGTCTTGTCGCCTCACATTTTGTCGTAACTTCGACTTTTCGACTTTTCGAACGCCTTTGTCCGGGCAAAATTTCCCTAATAGCTCAGTCGAATCCCTTATAAAGCATGTGTCAATACACTTAAGAGCTCGTACCATCAACATCGTTTTTGTGTTATTTTTTTCACCCATCAACACTCGAAGCCATGAGTTTGATATTTATGGGTCCAGTCCACTTCGGGATTTCTCATACATACATGTTTATCGTTCGCAACAATATTATTTTCAAACATTCTCTACATATATTATATTGTTTTCAATGTTTCAGGGAATGTTTTGACTATAATTAGTAATGTAACAAAAGTTAGTATAGGAGATTCATACAGTGTAACATGTAGATCTCAATACAATCGAGTTGATTTCTATAGAAACGATACACTCATAGTTAGACCAACACGTCGTCATGGTGAGGCACCTTGTAGGGTAAACGACAGCACCATGAATGAATTCAACTGTACCATAACCCCATATGGCAACCGTACTTTTGAACATCTGTTAATTATTCTATCTGCTAACCGTACTGGTACAACTCAATGGCAGTGTAAACATACAAATACCAGATTTGTTTCAAACAATGTCTCCATAACAATAACAACTAAAGGTAGGTATAATATTTAACGGCGGTCATAAATCTATAAATGTAGCCCAAAGGTGTAGCCAGCATTTTCTTGAAGCAATGGTTAAGAACATTATTAGCTCATTAACCATTCCTCCCACTGCTGAAGACCCCTAAAATTAAACCATATGTTAGTCCCCAAATGACCTAGTTTGTGTCGAGTGGACGTTAAACCCCATTTCTCTCTCTCTCTATATATATATATATTATTCTATGTTGTTCTATAAATGATTTTACACTCAATGGAAGGAAAAAACCCCATCAAATTTGAGCAATCTGTCTTCTGTCTGACTTGTAGTTTTAAGACCTGGCAATTCTAACATGTGTGAATTTATTATATATTTGGCAAACAATATGTTGAAATGTATTTCATAATGACTTATGCATGTTCCCCAATCCCTATTCAGATACAAATCTGAATAAACATATTGCTTATAAAAAACTATTGACTTTAAATTATTTTATGGAATTATGGTGGTGCACACTTTGTATAATATCTCTATCATATATAAATTTTCTATAAATACACCTGTCCAGCCAGGTTCGTTTAAAGGGACACTCGCACATTGTTGATTGTCGTCGATCGATAATAATTTCTATTAATATTGCTGTCCAGACATAAGTCCCTCTTGGCATTCCCATGTCAGATCCGTTTAAAGAGACACTCACGTTTTTGATTGTAGTGATCGGTAACATTTTGACTTGTTTTAATTGCGCCATTTTTTACTGCATATTTAAGTTCTGGTCAATCTTACTAAAATACAGATCTACATTTCGTTTCCTTTTTTTATTCTTTCGATGGTCTCTACTACATCAAGATCTGGCCAGTTTGAGTGAAAGGTCGCTTCAGGGGTCATATGAGCGGCTTTTGACCATATGACGTCAGATATGTGATTAACCAATCAGCCAAGTTCCATGTACCTCACGCCAAAAACTCACCGCAACAGACCGTTTCATTTGCTAATACCTCACATCATCCAGAACGCGGGTTATATAACAACTCTTCCAGATCCGAGTGTAGTAAAGACAAGTAAAACAAAATTTTGAACTATAAAAAACGAAACGAAATAGGATCAGCGTTTTAATCAGATTGAGTTCAGGTTTGTCGAATGTCAGACAGAACTGTCAATTCCATTTTGATACACATACATCTTTAGAGTTAATGTATGGGCTGTTTTCTGCTTTATTCGGAAGACTAGTTCTTCAGGAGCAGAATAGTAGGACGTTAAACCCCATTTCATTTCATTTCACTTAGAGTATCGGTAAATCAGTGGGTATCTACTATTAATCGTCTGTTTGAAAGTGACAATACCTTTTTACATAGGTCATACGACAGTTGCGGAAAGGAATGCTGGTGGAATATATACTAGTACTGTGAAATCTATAATATTATATACCACAGATCAAACACAGAAAAATGCTGAAAACACGACCACTGGTGGCCAAATGGAAAATATTGCTGATTCAAATATTACATTATTTGCTGTAATTGGAGCTGGTTGCCTGTTTGGTTTGTTGTTTATTGGATGTTTTATTTACGTAGCCAGTCGCCATAGACAACAGAACACAGAACCAAGTAAGGCTTATTTCTCATTTCTTTCATACGCCAACATTTTATGTGGAAGTTTATTTGACTTATCTTCCCCTCTGTCCATTGTATCATCCACGATTACTGTAAACGACCTACAGGTGGAACTATTTGATATATTTATCTCAAACATGCTTGAATTGTTCAGTTAGTGATAATAGGCATTCTATCGAAACAGTGTCCTTCAGTCTGATTAAAATACAGATTATTTTTCGTTTCGTTTTTTTAAATACTTTCGAAGGCCTACACTACATGAAGATCTGACCAGTTTTACTGGAAGGTCGCGTCGGGGGTCGTACGAGCGGCTTTTGACCCCATGGCGTTAGACATTGATCAATCAATCAACGTTGACGTTTCTAATGGTGTACCTACAGTTCCGTGCATCGGACGCCAAGAAGTCGTTTCCGGCCTCGACTGTTTACTTCGACCTTTTGTCTCTGGGTCAAATTGATGAACTCAGGTTTCATCCTGACTCACCCAAGAAAGCACGTGAATATCTCAGATAGTTCTGGAAAAGGCTTTGACTTAACCATGACTCTCACTATCAGACGTTTTTATTCTTCAGTCATGAGCTGATCCTGCCCCTTGTAAATTTAGCACACCACTGTTCTGGGGCAGACCACTATATTTCTCCCCTTTTGCATGTCCATTTTTGTTGATTGTTTTGGTCTAGAATGGACGAAGAGGGTTTGAATTCACATTTTCCAGTATGATTTAGAGGCAGCAGGATAACAGAGTTATCAGGTTGGTTACGGTGATATGTACGGCGAATAGTTACATGTTTTTAGTATGCTACTTCAAGGTTGTGTAACAGAGTTATCAGGTTGGTTACGGTGATATGTACGGCGAATAGTTACATGTTTTTAGTATGCTACTTCAAGGTTGTGTATCTCAAAATTTTGGTAGGCAACCTCAAACAAATTTCGGTGCAAATACATGACCATTTGCTTCTGTCTGTAGTGAAAAGCAGTCAGCCCAACGCAAATTTCGGGGAGAATTGAAGCAGGGCAAAGAGACCAGAATTAAATTGAAGTCAATAGGGAAATTAATGGTGGTCTGCCTCCTACTATACTATACGAAGGAGCATTGTTACCTAATGTCTGTGTCATATCATCATGACTATGTTTTGCTGTAAAAGATTTCAAAGGAAGATACCTAGATACCTTTACGTTAAAATAGTAACAATTATTTTATTTACCTAACAGGAGAGAAAACTGAGAATTCAGACCCAGTGGTTGAGGAAAGTAAGATGTACCCGAGTGTAAATACGATGGCGATGGGTGGAGATTACGAGGCTATGGATGATTTACCCGCCTGGAATGATAACAGAGATAACTCAAACAAGACTGGTGCTTATGATCCTAATAAAATTTATGGTGTAGTCAATAAAAACACCAACAAAGGTAATTTATTTTTTCTTCGGCGTGGATATCTTCTGTGTTAAATTCAGGCCTTTTCTTAGACTATTATATTGTTGTAAACCTTTCATGGTTTCTAATTAATCATTTTAACCATAAGGATCCAAATATTCCATGATCATATGAAAGAATACTGGATTGGGTTGATCCACCAAGATTTGTTAATTTGTCCGAGGTGTCCTAATTCGCTTTCCCATACCAAGATTGTTTACTGTGATAAAAACCCTGTCAAAAGATATAAATCCGTTTTCTCCCCCACTCTTCTAGATTTACCCGCCTGGAGTGATAACAGAGATAACTCAAACAAGACTGGTGCTTATGATCCTAATAAAATTTATGGTGTAGTCAATAAAAACACCAACAAAGGTAATTTATTTTTTCTTCGGCGTGGATATCTTCTGTGTTAAATTCAGGCCTTTTCTTAGACTATTATATTGTTGTAAACCTTTCATGGTTTCTAATTAATCATTTTAACCATAAGGATCCAAATATTCCATGATCATATGAAAGAATACTGGATTGGGTTGATCCACCAAGATTTGTTAATTTGTCCGAGGTGTCCTAATTCGCTTTCCCATACCAAGATTGTTTACTGTGATAAAAACCCTGTCAAAAGATATAAATCAGTTTTCTCCCCCACTCTTCTAGATCAAAAATTGAAGGGAAATATGAAAGAAACTATGGAAATGAAGGGAAATAACTGTAGTCCTAGCACTGTATCCTTGATTAGTTATTGAATCTTTAATGGCGGATGAGTAATGACAAAGGGGGGATAATTAAGGTTATATCTGAGAATCACGCAGAGTAACAGTGACATTTTGGTGTTACTGAACTGTTTCCAAAAAATATGAATTTGAACTTTAAATTACTGACAGAAAAACTCCACCATACAATACCTTGAATGCGTTTTTTTTAAATACAAAAGTCCCAAATATCTAGTAGTAGTTAACTTAATATACTTTTTCTTGTTAAAAAGGAACAACAACTTTCCAGCAAAACCCAGAACAACCGCCTTATAGTTTACCCGATCAACATGTGGTAAGTTTTTATAATTGATACTTTGTGGAGTTATCGTGGGCTTTTGTGATATCCAGGTTCTGTTGTATTCTAGTTTATGTTTAGCATATTAATTTATACATTCTAATATATTAAAATAGCTTACATCTTGACTATATGTTGATCTTCGAGAACCCTGCTTATTGTAAAACACACGCTATTTTGACAATAAATTTTTCATTCGCTTTATTTCAGCATTCAGTTCAATCTCGATTCCAGAGATAACTTTACCCATTGTTTATTTCTGGTAAAACTCGCCGGCCATTAATCAGCGTTTAATCGGTTCCTAAGCACCGCCACCAGTGGCTACTGATTGGCAGGATTTGTTAGAATGAATTGCTGCCAAATTCTCGACAATTATACATCGATTCGTTGCATGAGTTACATATTAAAGATCCTTGGAACATTTTCCAAATCAAAAGTTAATTTGATGATTTACCGGGAACTATTTTTAGCGCACAATGTGAGTGCTTCGGCTAAATACGTGAAATTTCTGAAGAAACGCCAGTTTGAGCCGCCATCGTGGACCTTTGTGAAGCGATCGACGAAAGGATACATCATGTGACATTCAAAATGGCCGATGTATGACCGGCGAGTTTTACCACGGATAAACTTATCTATTAGATCAAGATTGCATTCATTTATTAGATACACCCGTAGATGGCCAAAACATACCATGTTTTTATTCTAGGATAACATTAGCCATGAATCGATGATAGACATTGTGTACATCCCAGGCTCCAACCAGCTTACGCCCACAAACATTGCTACTATTTTAATTTTAAGTTCCACACCCAAAATCACTGGATCGGGACTTAAGATGTATTTCGTTAGATTTAATAATGTACTTTACCCGAATCGTATTTTAAGCAATATGAAACTAACGATACCAGCACTGAATGAGGATGTAACTGCCGTATTGCTTCTATTTATTTATCATATATTTTTACAGATTTATTTACAAGTTCAACACAATCCTATTGTTGAAAGTCAAGACATACCAGCAGCCGCACTAACTGTAGAATATGCAGAAATAAATTACGCTACCAAAAAGCAACATAACTAACACGGACAAATTTTACTTGGAATTACTATCAAGGTCCTGGATATTAGTTTTCTGTCACAGCGCGGACGAATTCGTAAGCGAATGTTGACAAGAATTTTAATCGCCATTCATCCGTTAAAAAAAATAGCATGCACGAGGACTCAAAAACTCTCAAGTATATCCCTATGTAATTATGGTTGATTTTTTTTTTAAAAGATGCATTATGCCAGATTTAGATAAAGAGCTGGTCGTAATTGCTATAATAGTTCAAAAATAGATAATTCAAAATTAAATATTAATCAAGTTATCACTGTTCGAAGTTTTGACAAGATGTGTCAAATAATGTTCATTACCGTAGCAACGTTATTTGTTAATCGAGACTCAGTCTCACTTCTCCATTTTTATATTAAACCATTACATGGCGATCGCATTTCAATCGACAGTCCAATAAATGGATTATAGGCTTGTCATGTGAATAAATGGATTATAGGCTTGTCATGTGAATAAATGTCTAAATAATAAACTTTATAAGATTTAAAGCCAAAATAAAAATCTACAATTCGCAGATTTAGCTCTTACATAATGCATCGTTAATATTTACAAAACATTTTTATTATTCCACAATTTCTTTATTATTCCATATGTATTTTTAAACAATATTTAACATTCTTTTATATTAGCTATATTTTTCAGGTTTAAGAACTTGCATGCACGAGGACTTATATTAGATATATTTTTCAGGTTTAAGAACTTGCATGCACGAGGACTTATATTAGATATATTTTTCAGGTTTAAGAACTTGCATGCACGAGGATTTATATTAGATATATTTTTCAGGTTTAAGAACTTGCATGCACGAGGACTTATATTAGATATATTTTTCAGGTTTAAGAACTTGCATGCATGGGGACTTATATTAGATATATTTTTCAGGTTTAAGAACTTGCATGCACGAGGATTTATATTAGATATATTTTTCAGGTTTAAGAACTTGCATGCACGAGGACTTATATTAGATATATTTTTCAGGTTTAAGAACTTGCATGCACGAGGACTTATATTAGATATATTATTCACGTTTAAGAATTTGCATGCATGGGGACTCATAAACTGTCATGTAATATAGTAGATTTGTTAAATATTTATATAAAAAGTTTTATTATTCTATAATTTATTAGTTTGTATTTTTCCACAATATTTAATATATATCTGTATATTAGCTATATTTGTTCACTTTAAGAATTTGCATGCATGAAGACTTATAAACTGTCATGTAAATGATAGTAGATTTGTTAAATATTTCTAAAAAAATAAATATTATTCTATAATTCATTAGTTTGTATTATTCCACACTGTTTTATATTACTGTATGTTAGCTATATTATTCTCTAATTTATTAATATGCAGAATTAATATTCGTATATACATATTAGCTATATGTTTCAGGTTTAACTTAAAAGATTTCGTCCCAGACATATTTTAGTGAATAAAACTGGGCAAATAATTTTTAAAAGAATGTTACAAATTTGACCCCTTTCAGAGAGACCTGGCAACGTTTTTACGCGCGGTGTTGTTTTTATATTCATGGTTTACTAATGCAGGTTTCATATAATACGGCGAGGTATATAACTATTTGTCTTCATTTAGAAATTACTTGAATCGAATACAAGTTCATTCCCGTGTAGAGTAACATTTTGAAAATATTTTCCTTTAAAGGGATATAACTTATTCAAAGATTTTTTTTTTTTAAAAATATGACCTTTATGGAGAATGGGCAGAATTAGGATAATGTAGACCTTAATTAAAATTACACTGTATATTTTTTATTCTTTATTCTATTACGGAAGCGTATAGGGGTCATGCAAAATTTTGTATAAGGTCTCGAGATCCTGCGATCCTGTGATACTTTCTCGATATCCCGTGATCACCTGATAATTTTCTCGAGATCTTAATTTAATTTTCTCGAAATCCCCTGATAATTTTTCTGAGATATTGACATCCTGTGTAAATTTTCTCGAGAATTCGAGTTAATATTCTCGAGATATTGATATCCTGTGTAAATTTTCTCGAGATCCCGAGTTAATATGAAACCTTATATGATATAGTGTCTCCGCGGAGTGATGCAACCATTGGCCCAATACTTCGCACCCGATTTGATAAAAAAAAAAAACATTTGTTACAAAGGAAAACTTCTGAAAGAAAAAACGGACAATCGATAGGGTACCCATGATTTACACTCAATTTGAAATATGATTAAAATCGATAGGTTTCATCGTCTTATGGCCCAAATTTGAATTACAGACATGCTTGTTAAATTATTTCAATTTAATGTTTCTTCGACGTTTAATAGAATATGTCATCTTTTGTATGGTTTTCGGACCATATTTTGTTTTAGAATAAAGCTAGACACAGAGTTTATTGACTTGTGGCAGAAATGCTTCGGGGCAGATTTTAAATCAAAAATCTTGAAAAACTCTGGGCTCTAACGCGTTCATAAGGGATCGCTGCAAATCAATACGGTTCATTGTTCCGCCGAAAATAAATAGGGTTTCTCTGCTTATGACACTAATGATTTGAACAATAGCCACACAAAGTGTGGAGATCCGCCCACGCAGCATCTATGCCTCAACAGCAGATTATTCGAAAGGAAAACTTGGATGTTTAATAAATTGAATAAGGATCTAGCATTCTTCAAGAAATCTAATCTCTATCGTGTTCACGTGCTTGTTACATCTCTGGGACAAAAAAACTTATATTGCTGAAAATTAACAGGGGTCATCCTTGTCGCGGAACACTGATTTTCGAAAATCCGTTAAAAACAAGGTTTTCAAAGAATGGAGAGTATAACCCCGGAACGGAAGGTCGTTAACCACTGAATATCGATAAAGTTCATGACCCCAAAGCTTCACACAAAATTGTAAAAGTGAAACCTCTATGGCGTGAACAAGGCTTTCCGGGAGCGGGCCGGGAGCGGGGTATATTAAGGAACAGAAGGTCACCGAATGCTGAATATCGATAGGGTTCGTCCTCTCATTGTCACATATCTGAAAGAAATACGGACAAAGTTTGCGGAGTACTGAAAATCGAAAGGTCCTAGTGCTTCACACCACATTTAAAAAACAAAACCAGTTAAAAACTGTAGCCTCTATTGCGTTAACAAGGTTTTTCGGATAAGGGGGATAACTCCAGATTGAGGTGCGCTGGAAGCTAGAAGCGACGGGGACCATCCTCTCATGGCCACAATGCTTTACAGTAAACTGTAGGCTCTATCGTGCTATTATGGTTTTCGGGAAAGTGTGTGTGTGTGTGTGGGAGGGGGGGGGGGCTCCAAAACTATAATATAATTCACTGTAGATATATCTATCTGTATATATCATCTATATATATATTTGTGACTGTCGTTTGTCTGTCTGTCTGTCTGTCTGTCTGTTCGGGGTTGGCGGCTACACTAGGTCTGCCCCGAGTCTGAAATTTGGGGTATAGGGGTAGCTCGGACCGGGGAGTAACATAGGCCAGGTGGCGTTAGTCTACCACTTACGGTTTCGGAGTTATGACCCCCGAGCGAAGTCTGTCTGTTCGGGGTTGGCGGCTACACTAGGTCTGCCCCGAGTCTGAAATTTGGGGTATAGGGGTAACTCGGACCGGGGAGTAACATAGGCCAGGTGTCGTTAGTCTACAACTTCAGGTTTCGGAGTTATGATCCCCGAGCGAAGCCGGTCTGTTCTGGGTTGGCGGCTACACTAGGTCTGCCCCGAGTCTGAAATTTGGGGTATAGGTGTAGCTCGGACCGGGGAGTAACATAGGCCAGGTGTCGTTAGTCTACAACTTCAGGTTTCGGAGTTATGATCCCCGAGCGAAGCCGGTCTGTTCTGGGTTGGCGGCTACACTAGGTCTGCCCCGAGTCTGAAATTTGGGGTATAGGTGTAGCTCGGACCGGGGAGTAACATAGGCCAGGTAGCGTTAGTCTACCACTTCCTGTTTCGGAGTTATGACCCCCGAGCGAAGCCGGGTATCCTGCTAGTATATATATATTTGTGACTGTCGATTGTCTGTCTGTCTGTTCGGGGTTGGCGGCTATACTAGGTCTGCCCCGAGTCTGAAATTTGGGGTATAGGGGTAGCTCGGACCGGGGAGTAACATAGGCCAGGTGGCGTTAGTCTACCACTTCCGGTTTCGGAGTTATGACCCCCGAGCGAAGCCGGTCTGTTCGGGGTTGGCGGCTATACTAGGTCTGCCCCGAGTCTGAAATTTGGGGTATATGGGTAGCTCGGACCGGGGAGTAACATAGGCCAGGTGGCGTTAGTCTACCACTTCCGGTTTCGGAGTTATGACCCCGAGCAAAGCCGGGTATCCTCTCCCGAGTCTGAAATTTGGGGTATAGGGGTAGCTGGTACCGGGGAGTAACATAGACCAGGTGGCGTTAGTCTACCACTTCCGGTTTCGGAGTTATGACCCCCGAGCGAAGCCGGTCTGTTCGAGGTTGGCGGCTACACTAGGTCTGCCCCGAGTCTGAAATTTGGGGTATAGGGGTAGCTCGGACCGGGGAGTAACATAGGCCAGGGAAGCCGGGTATCCTGCCCCGAGTCGGAAATTTGGGGTATAGGGGTAGTTCGGACCGGGGAGTAACATAGCCAAGGTGGCGTTAGTCTACCACTTCCGGTTCGGAGTTATGACCCCCGAGCGAAGCCGGTCTGTTCGGGGTTGGCGGCTACACTAGGTCTGCCCCGTGTCTGAAATTTGGGGTATAGGGGTAGCTCGGACCGGGGAGTAACATAGGCCAGGTGGTGTTATTCTACCACTTCCGGTTTCGGAGTTATGACCCCCCGAGCGAAGCCGGGTATCCTGCTAGTATTTAGATAAAGCGCTGGTCGTTCTTTCTACAATAGATCAAAAATAGATAATGTAAAATGAGTACATCGAAAATTTCAGTCAAATATTCGGAAATTTGACAAAAATAGTCACAAATTTTGCGACGCCGGTCATATTATTGTTTAAGGCAGACGTGTCTAATCAACTCGGCACTCAATATGCCATAGAGAGTTGATTAAGAGCTTTTTATGTGAATAAATGTCTAAATAATAATTAATATAACATTTGAAGCTAGAAAAACGCCGTTAAAATGCATCATTAATATCATGTCCTCATTTAGACAAGTGGAGATCAAAAAAAGGGTTGTAATTACGAACTACCTATGTCGTAATTACGAGATTGGCCCTAATGGTTTTCCGTAATTGCATATGTTTTCTACAGCAATCACAAACTAAGTTGGGGGTGGGGGGGGGACTAGGGGTCTAGGGTGTCAGGCATCAATCTCTAGCTGGCCGATCTCAATCTCAGGCGTGAGCGTATGTTCCTTGGAGAAAAGGCGCTAAGAAAATGAAAATAGGACAACGTGTCTGCAATATCTTCCTCGATTGAAGCGGGCGTTAAACACCAAGAAGAACAGCAACAATTGATTGATTTTAATTCCACTCTACTTCATTTTCAGTAAAGAGGCATTATGGGAGATTAGTTCTCGATATAATAGTTAAAAACTAGATAATGTAAAGGGAATTTGCTGAAAATTTTAGTCAAATTGCTCGGCACTGAACTGAGATATTAACTTTTAAATTTTAGGCCTACCCGCGATCATCATTACTAAAGTCGATACGATAAAAAACAAAGTCTCGATTATCCACGTTTACGTTTAATTATTTTTCAAAAAATGTGTTCCAATCCGCTAAATATCGCAGAGTTGATTATGATCTGGATAAGTTAATTAATGTCTAATTAATAATTTATATAACATTTCAGGCCAAAATAAAGACTTGCAATTGGCAGATTTAGCTCTTGCATAATGTATGTTTAATAGTTTATATAACATTTCAGGCCTAAAAAAACACCTGCAATAGGCAGATCTAGCTCTTGCATAATGTATGATTAAATATTGTTAATTAAACTTGAAACGATATTTTTATTACAAGATTAATATCTAGATATCAATCAACGTATGTCGGTACAATATGAAATGGTAATATATACTCCGCCGATGTCAAGACTAATGTGTCGGGTAAAACGATATTTTATTTTATAGTATTATTGTCTTTTCTATTTATTTAGTTTTGCCATGTTATTTGAACTATTCATGAAGTTATAAGAATCGGGTCAAATAAAACTGATTTATTTCTAATAGTAAGTTCCGGTGTGTGGGAGGCAACTCACACAAACAAAACCGAAAAGATAAAATGAAATGAAATGGGGTTTAACGTCCTATACTCCAACTGGGCTAATGAAGATGGGCATAGGCCATGCAGTGTACTATGAGGGTAATTTTGCCCGGACAGCGGTGCTACGACCTACTCTTATTTCGGATTCAAACCGTCAAATTGTTCTTTTACGTGCATGCCAATGTGTAAATGGGACCTGGCAATTGAACACGGTTAGCGAGCCAACGTCTACCCACTGAGCCACCGTGTCTCCCCGGAAAAGACAAACTACACAGACATTGCAAATACCTTTTCAGTACCACGTGTACCATGTCCCTCCCTGACTTTTTGGAATTTTGCAATTGAGAGTTTCAAAGGCTACTTAAAAAATCAAATTGCATATTAAAAAATCTGACCGTAACTGTTCATTGCACTTCACCAAAACATTTTAAAAATCTGATGTGCATACAAGGAATGTAATTTACAATGCACATCCCTTCAAAACTATAAATAACGGCAGGTCCAATTATTCAATTTTCTATCAAACAAACTGTACGTATCCTCTCGCCCCCCTAAAAAACAACAAAACAAACAGACCAACTGACAAAATATGTTCCTAATATCTGCCAAAGTGAGGTACAAATGGCCCTTTTCCTATTTGACTTTTTGGGTCGCCCGTGTTTGCAATTGAATCCGCCCCTGTCACCATCCTGATAGTCGACACTACTAGGAAGATACATTGTGGTGTTGTTTTTAATATTTTTAAAATTTAAAATGTTACAGTTAGTTAACACTACAGTTCAGTTGTAGTAAACATGTTGTTCTACAAGATAGGAGTGTTATTTTGTTTCATGTGGAATTGGTATTATTCTGATGCAGGTAATATTTTATAGATTTTACCTACTAAAAGTTTTAATGTTGCTGGAAGTTGATTAATTTATTAAATGATTGAACTGATTAACAAAACATTGCACTGGTATAATATGGATAAAAATACTTTTACTGGGAGGGGGTGGGGGTGGGGGTGCAGGAGTTAGAGAGGGCCAAGGATTTACTACATCACCCTTATATACCCCCGCCCCCAGTAAGTAAATATTTCGTAAGCTGAAGAAAATCGGTAATTTATTATGAAGAGAGTCTGTTAGATGAATAGACGTATACAGTATGCTAGTCCAATTAAAATTGGGGGGATTGGATGGCCGAATGGATAGCACGCGCGTGCTGTATCATAAGGTGTGGTTTCGAATATTCCCGGTTGTACGTGACAAGGAGTAGGGTCGCCTGTCCAACCTCGTGGGTTTTCTCCGGGTGCTCCGGTTTCCTCACACTGCTAAAAGGCCCCTACGCGCAAGCGAATTATTGAAATAAAATTGAACCATGTGTTAGTCCCGAATTGACCTAGTTTGTGTCGAGTGGACGTTAAACCCCATTTCTCTCTCTCTCCAATTAAAATTTCGTTTATTTTTCTGATTTAAAACAACATTTTAAACTAACTAAAATTACATCACGACGCTGTTGTGTCAGAAGTAGAAACGTTTATTTGCTTGGTTAAAGTTTCTCAGCTATAAGCCGAACGTGCTAGCTAAACAATCATGAAATCATTGTTCCGATCAATTTGTTCGCCGTCTGCGGGTCGAAAAAACACGAACAAAAATGTTCCCAAAAAAGTTTTCGTGCAATCGAACTTGTTAAATATTTGGAAATCAGTTCGTCGTCTGCGTTGAAGCTGAATAGTCGCGGAACATTTATTTTCCACTCAGCACGAATCAGGGATCACATGAAATTAAAATGTCATGTGATATGTGTGCCATTTTGAAATCACGTGATTTGTGTTCCCTCGTCTGCGTTCGGTTTTATGGAGAGCATGTTCGCCATTTTGTATCCATTTTAATTCCTATACGGTAATTAATAATTCAATATCGACCTTTCCAGACTGCGTGAAGACGTCTCAACATATGAAACTCTGGAATTTAATAATAACACATTGGAATGCATACGGAACAGACATTTTAGTTAGTCAAAATGTATAGTACACATGATCATATTTATTTTATTATTTGTTAGAAAGTGTTTAGTCGTTCGGATGGTACGAAAAACTGTTTCCGTATACACATTTGCGTGCACGTAAAAGATCCCTTGGCAGTTGGAATTATTACACAATTGAGATTATTTAGGAAAATGTCAATTAACACCTTCCATACATGAAATTGTTTAAAACAACCTTATCATATTATGACCCACAGATGGTCGAGATTGGCACTGGCTGGACACGCCCAATGGCCACGCGGAAGTCATTAGTGAAGTCATTACAGCTGGTCCATGTTACGTAATGTCCTTTGTCTTCTAAAGTAATCTGTACTGAAAGCATAACCTGGTATTATATAATAACCAACTTCAACCTCCGGCCACAATATGGTCTGAAATATAACACCTGTCCTTAGCTGATTGGTCAAAACTATCTGTCCGATCGGGGCGTAACCAATCCCAGACTGAATACTGACCAATCAGGTTACAGTGCATCGACATCGATCTTGCCCAGTACTATACAAGACCAGATCAAAACGATTGTCTGCGATATCACCTCGGTGGAGGCGGACGTAAAATACAACTAACTCACACACACACGATTGTAGTGAATCCAGGTCAGAGACCATATCCTGAAGCAATAGCCCGAGAAGTCCCTCTCCCGTCCTGCATCACTGACAAGGGGGAATCCGCCAGAAAATCTGGATGGACTTTCTCGGCCAATGCAGGGATCGAACACCCGACCTCCAGGCTGGCTTAACATCCATTCGTTGCAAACTAAATTATTTCAATAATTCGTTTGCACGTTGGTGTCTTTAGCAGTGGATAGAAGCTGGGGTATCCGAAGAAAACCCACAAGGTTGGACAAGCGACCCTACTCCCTTGTCATGTTTAAGCGGGGAATCGAAACCACACCACTTGAATCAATGTTAGACCTTGTGATTTCACGCGCACGTGTTAAACCACTAGACCACCCAATCCCCATGTATGTTGTTGTATATTGTATATATCGGTACGGGAAATTTGTTTTATAATAGGCCTATATAATAAATTAAATTGTTATAGCCTAAGGTGTTTTTTTTTGGGGGGGGGGGGGGTTATCAGACATTTTTGGCAGATAAAATATCCCAGTTGGCGGAAAAAAATATGAACATTTTTTTTATATAAAAATTATTATCCATTTTGACGGAAAAGAATGAAATACAGTGTGAGCCCTGATTGCACGTATTCAAATGCGACCTGGAAAACTGAGACAACTTCCTAGGCGAAAAGTCGCTAATAGCGTGGTGTGTTAATTTCCTAATTTCTACTTTTCGAGTTGCATTTTGGCTTGGTACGCGTGTTGGCGCCTTCTTACTGACATCAATAAATACAAAAATATCGAAAGTCGAAAGTCGACAAGACGGTATACAAGCCAAAATGCAAGTCGAAAACAAGAAATTAGGAAAAAACGAGGTGCGCTATTATCGCTGTGTGTTATTTCTTAATTTCCTATTTTCGAGTTGATTTGGGCTTGTATACCGTCTTGTCGCCTCACATTTTGTCGTAACTTCGACTTTTCGACTTTTGTGTTCTGAAGAGGCGAAAAGTAGAAATTATGAATGGTAGTTATAGGCTTCCATAATTCTTCCCGTTCAATCAAATCTATCCCAAGTACAGCAACATGACAGCCCTTCTTTTAATTTGGGATCTTCTCTAAAACTTTGGACAGTGATTTAAGGTATTAAATACGGCGAAATTATTTTTCAAAACAGTATTGTTTACATTGTATTCGTTTTGATAGCGTCGTTTATCACGCAATTAGTTTTCAGCAATATTCTGCTATGCACTGGTTAATTGGGCATATTAAAATCATGACTCATGACGTAACGTAATGTAAACATATTTGGTCCATTTTGGAGCTCTCTTTAAAGCGTAATGATATTGTTGCGCAGTAAGCTATTGGTTTTTAATCAGACTATTGACCAGTCATAATTAGGAACAGAAATTTGTTTCCTTTACAGCAGTGTTAAGTGGGATTGGGTATAATCAAACGAAACACTGCGAGGAGTATGGCCAGAGAGCCGAGCTGGAAACAATGCTGCTAAAGACAAGGAACCTTATACATGATATGTTTAAAGAAAAATAAAAGTATCATATGAAGTTTAAACCAGTGCTGTCATCCAGAACCGATTCAAGGAACCTAAAAGTGTAACAGCATTCGATATAAAAGTATGCCATAGCGCCTTTGTCCGGGCAAAATTTCCCTAATAGCTCAGTCGAATCCCTTATAAAGCATGTGTCATACACTTAAGAGCTCGTACCATCAACATCGTTTTTGTGTTATTTTTTTCACCCATCAACACTCGAAGCCATGAGTTTGATATTTATGGGTCCAGTCCACTTCGGGATTTCTCATACATACATGTATATCGTTCGCAACAATATTATTTTCAAACATTCTCTACATATATTATATTGTTTTCAATGTTTCAGGGAATGTTTTGACTATAATTAGTAATGTAACAGAAGTTAGTATAGGAGATTCATACAGTGTAACATGTAGATCTCAATACAATCCAGTTGATTTCTATAGAAACGATACACTCATAGCTAGACCAACACGTGTTCATGCTGGGGCATCTTGTAGGGTAAACACCAGCATCAGGAATGAATTCAACTGTACCATAACCACATATTACAAAGATACTTATGACCAGCACAATATATTATATTGTTTTCAATGTTTCAGGGAATAATTTGACTATAATTAGTAATGTAACAGAAGTTAGTATAGGAGATTCATACAGTGTCACGTGTAGAACTATATACCATCTAGTTGAATTCTATAGAAACGATACACCCTTAGCTAGAACAACACGTGATAATCTTGGGGCACCTTGTAGGATAATCGCCAGCACAATGAATGAATTCAACTGTACCATAACCAAATATGGCAACGCTACTTATGACCATCTGTTAATTATTCTATCAGCTAACCGTACTGGTACAACTCAATGGCGGTGTAAACATATAACAGATGCCCGATATTTTTCACAGACTGTCTCCATAAAAATAAAAACTAAAGGTATGTATAATATTTAACGGCGGTCATAAATCTATAAATGTAGCCCAAAGGTGGGTCTTGAAAGGACTGTAGATACAAAATGTAACTAAAACGTGGTATTTGTGAATGAGTTTAGTAGCCAGCATATTCTTGAAGCAATGGTTAAGAACATTATTAGCTCATTAACCATTCCTCCCACTGCTGAAGACCCCTAAAATTAAACCATATGTTAGTCCCGAAATGACCTAGTTTGTGTCGAGTGGACGTTAAACCCCATTTCTCTCTCTCTATATATATATATATATTATTCTATGTTGTTCTATAAATGATTTTACACTCAATGGAAGGAAAAAACCCCATCAAATTTGAGCAATCTGTCTTCTGTCTGACTTGTAGTTTTAATACCTGGCAATTCTAACATGTGTGAATTTATTATATATTTGGCAAACAATATGTTGAAATGTTCCCCAATCCCTATTCAGATACAAATCTGAATAAACATATTGCTTATAAAAAACTATTGACTTTAAATTATTTTATGGAATTATGGTGGTGCACACTTTGTATAATATCTCTATCATATATAAATTTTCTATAAATACACCTGTCCAGCCAGGTTCGTTTAAAGGGACACTCGCACATTGTTGATTGTCGTCGATCGATAATAATTTCTATTAATATTGCTGTCCAGACATAAGTCCCTCTTGGCATTCCCATGCCAGAACCGTTTAAAGAGACACACTCACTTTTTTGATTGTAGTGATCGGTAACATTTTGACTTGTTTTAATTGCGCCATTTTTTATTGCATATTTAAGTTCTGGTCAATCTTACTAAAATACAGATCTACATTTCGTTTCCTTTTTTTATTCTTTCGATGGTCTCTACTACATCAAGATCTGGCCAGTTTGAGTGAAAGGTCGCTTCAGGGGTCATATGAGCGGCCTTTGACCATATGACGTCAGATATGTGATTAACCAATCAGCCAAGTTCCATGTACCTCACGCCAAAAACTCACCGCAACAGACCGTTTCATTGGGTAATCCCTCACATTATCCAGAACGCGGGTTATATAACAACTCTTCCAGATCCGAGTGTAGTAAAGACAAGTAAAACAAAATTTTGAACTTTAAAAAACGAAACGAAATAGGATCAGCGTTTTAATCAGATTGAGTTCAGGTTTGTCGAATGTCAGACAGAACTGTCAATTCCATTTTGATACACATACATCTTTAGAGTTAATGTATGGGCTGTTTTCTGCTTTATTCAGAAGACTAGTTCTTAGATTCTCAGATTACCCCCGTCTTCAGGAGCAGAATAGTAGGACGTTAAACCCCATTTCATTTCATTTCACTTAGAGTATCGGTAAATCAGTGGGTATCTACTATTAATCGTCTGTTTGAAAGTGACAATACCTTTTTACATAGGTCATACGACAGTTGCGGAAAGGAATGCTGGTGGAATATATACTAGTACTGTGACATCTATAATATTATATACCACAGATCAAACACAGAAAAATGCTGAAAACACGACCACTGGTGGCCAAATGGAAAATATTGCTGATTCAAATATTACATTATTTGCTGTAATTGGAGCTGGTTGCCTGTTTGGTTTGTTGTTTATTGGATGTTTTATTTACGTAGCCAGTCGCCATAGACAACAGAACACAGAACCAAGTAAGGCTTATTTCTCATTTCTTTCATACGCCAACATTTTATGTGGAAGTTTATTTGACTTATCTTCCCCTCTGTCCATTGTATCATCCACGATTACTGTAAACGACCTACAGGTGGAACTATTTGATATATTTATCTCTAACATGCTTGAATTGTTCAGTTAGTGATAATAGGCATTCTATCGAAACAGTGTCCTTCAGTCTGATTAAAATACAGATTATTTTTCGTTTCGTTTTTTTAAATACTTTCGATGGCCTACACTACATGAAGATCTGACCAGTTTTACTGGAAGGTCGCGTCGGGGGTCGTACGAGCGGCTTTTGACCCCATGGCGTTAGACATTGATCAATCAATCAACGTTGACGTTTCTAGTGGTGTACCTACAGTTCCGTGCATCGGACGCCAAGAAGTCGTTTCCGGCCTCGACTGTATACTTCGACCTTTTGTCTCTGGGTCAAATTGATGAACTCAGGTTTCATCCTGACTCACCCAAGAAAGCACGTGAATATCTCAGATAGTCCTGGAAAAGCCTTTGACTTAACCATGACTCTCACTATCAGACGTTTTTATTCTTCAGTCATGAGCTGATCCTGCCCCTTGTAAATTTAGCACACCACTGTTCTGGGGCAGACCTATATATTTCTCCCCTTTTGCATGTCCATTTTTGTTGATTGTTTTGGTCTAGAATGGACGAAGAGGGTTTGAATTCACATTTTCCAGTATGATTTAGAGGCAGGAGGATAACAGAGTTATCAGGTTGGTTACGGTGATATGTACGGCGAATAGTTACATGTTTTTAATATGCTACTTCAAGGTTGTGTATCTCAAAATTTTGGTGGGCAACCTCAAACAAATTTTGGTGCAAATACATGACCATTTGCTTCTCTGTCTGTAGTGAAAAGCAGTCAGCCCAATGCAAATTTGGGAAAAAAATGAAGCAGGGCAAAGAGACCAGAATTAAATTGAAGTCAATAGGGAAATTAATAGTGGTCTGCATCCTACTATACTATACGAAGGAGCATTGTTACCTAATGTCTGTGTCATATCATCATGACTATGTTTTGCTGTAAAAGATTTCAAAGGAAGATACCTTTACGTTAAAATAGTAACAATTATTTTATTTACCTAACAGGAAAGAAAACTGAGAATTCAGACCCAGTGGTTGAGGAAAGTAAGATGTACCCGAGTGTAAATACGATCGCGATGGGTGGAGATTACGAGGCTATGGATGATTTACCCGCCTGGAATGATAACAGAGATAACTCAAACAAGACTGGTGCTTATGATCCTAATAAAATTTATGGTGTAGTCAATAAAAACACCAACAAAGGTAATTTATTTTTTCTTCGGCGTGGATATCTTCTGTGTTAAATTCAGGCCTTTTCTTAGACTATTATATTGTTGTAAACCTTTCATGGTTTCTAATTAATCATTTTAACCATAAGGATCCAAATATTCCATGATCATATGAAAGAATACTGGATTGGGTTGATCCACCAAGATTTTTTAATAAATGAGTCCGAGGTGTCCTAATTCGCTTTCCCATACCAAGATTGTTTACTGTGATAAAAACCCTGTCAAAAGATATAAATCAGTTTTCTCCCCCACATTTCTAGATCAAAAATTGAAGGGAAATATGAAAGAAACTATGGAAATGAAGGGAAATAACTGTAGTCCTAGCACTGTATCCTTGATTAGTTATAGAATCTTTAATGGCGGATGAGTAATGACAAAGGGGGGATAATTAAGGTTATATCTGAGAATCACGCGGGGTAACAGTAACATTTTGGTGTTACTGAACTGTTTCCAAAAAATATGAATTTGAACTTTAAATTACTGACAGAAAAACTCCACCATGCAATACCTTGAATGCGTTTTTTTTAAATACAAAAGTCCCAAATATCTAGTAGTAGTTAACTTAATATACTTTTTCTTGTTAAAAAGGAACCACAACTTTCCAGCAAAACCCAGAACAACCGCCTTATAGTTTACCCGATCAACAAGCGGTAAGTTTTTATAATTGATACTTTGTGGAGTTATCGTGGGCTTTTGTGATATCCAGGTTCTGTTGTATTCTAGTTTATGTTTAGCATATTAATTTATACATTCTAATATATTAAAATAGCTTACATCTTGACTATATGTTGATCTTCGAGAACCCTGCTTATTGTAAAACACACGCTATTTTGACAATAAATTTTTCATTCGCTTTATTTCAGCATTCAGTTCAATCTCGATTCCAGAGATAACTTAACCCATTGTTTATTTCTGGTAAAACTCGCCGGCCATTAATCAGCGTTTAATCGGTTCCTAAGCACCGCCACCAGTGGCTACTGATTGGCAGGATTTGTTAGAATGAATTGCTGCCGAATTCTCGACAATTATACATCGATTCGTTGCATGAGTTACATATTAAAGATCCTTGGAACATTTTCCACATCAAAAGTTAATTTGATGATTTACCGGGAACTATTTTTAGCGCACAATGTGAGTGCTTCGGCTAAATACGTGAAATTTCTGAAGAAACGCCAGTTTGAGCCGCCATCGTGGACCTTTGTGAAGCGATCGACGAAAGGATACATCATGTGACATTCAAAATGGCCGATGTATGACCGGCGAGTTTTACCACGGATAAACTTATCTATTAGATCAAGATTGCATTCATTTATTAGATACACCCGTAGATGGCTAAAAAATACCATGTTTTTATTCTAGGATAACATTAGCCATGAATCGATGATAGACATTGTGTACATCCCAGGCTCCAACCAGCTTACGCCCACAAACATTGCTACTATTTTAATTTTAAGTTCCACACCCAAAATCACTGGATCGGGACTTAAGATGTATTTCGTTAGATTTAATAATGTACTTTACCCGAATCGTATTTTAAGCAATATGAAACTAACGATACCAGCACTGAATGAGGATGTAACTGCCGTATTGCTTCTATTTATTTATCATATATTTTTACAGATTTATTCACAAGTTCAACGCAATCCTATTGTTGAAAGTCAAGACATACCAGCCGCCGCACTAACTGTAGAATATGCAGAAATAAATTACGCTACCAAAAAGCAACATAACTAACACGGACAAATTTTACTTGGAATTACTATCAAGGTCCTGGATATTAGTTTTCTGTCACAGCGCGGACGAATTCGTAAGCGAATGTTGACAAGAATTTTAATCGCCATTCATCCGTTAAAAAAAATAGCATGCACGAGGACTCAAAAACTCTCAAGTATATCCCTATGTAATTATGGTTGATTTTTTTTTAAAGATGCATTATGCCAGATTTAGATAAAGAGCTGGTCGTTATTGCTATAATAGTTCAAAAATAGATAATTCAAAATTAAATATTAATCAAGTTATCACTGTTCGAAGTTTTGACAAGATGTGTCAAATAATGTTCATTACCGTAGCAACGTTATTTGTTAATCGAGACTCAGTCTCGCTTCTCCATTTTTATATTAAACCATTACATGGCGATCGCATTTCAATGGACAGTCTAATAAATGGATTATAGGCTTGTCATGTGAATAAATGGATTATAGGCTTGTCATGTGAATAAATGTCTAAATAATAAACTTTATAAGATTTAAAGCCAAAATAAAAAGCTACAATTCGCAGATTTAGCTCTTACATAATGCATCGTTAATATTTACAAAACATTTTTATTATTCCACAATTTCTTTATTATTCCAAATGTATTTTTAAACAATATTTAACATTCTTTTATATTAGCTATATTTTTCAGGTTTAAGAACTTGCATGCACGAGGACTTATATTAGATATATTTTTCAGGTTTAAGAACTTGCATGCACGAGGACTTATATTAGATATATTATTCACGTTTAAGAATTTGCATGCATGGGGACTCATAAACTGTCATGTAATATAGTAGATTTGTTAAATATTTATATAAAAAGTTTTATTATTCTATAATTTATTAGTTTGTATTTTTCCACAATATTTAATATATATCTGTATATTAGCTATATTTGTTCACTTTAAGAATTTGCATGCATGAAGACTTATAAACTGTCATGTAAATGATAGTAGATTTGTTAAATATTTCTAAAAAAATAAATATTATTCTATAATTCATTAGTTTGTATTATTCCACACTGTTTTATATTACTGTATGTTAGCTATATTATTCTCTAATTTATTAATATGCAGAATTAATATTCGTATATACATATTAGCTATATGTTTCAGGTTTAACTTAAAAGATTTCGTCCCAGACATATTTTAGTGAATCAAACTGGGCAAATAATTTTTAAAAGAATGTTACAAATTTGACCCCTTTCAAAGAGACCTGGCAACGTTTTTACGCGCGGTGTTGTTTTTATATTCATGGTTTACTAATGCAGGTTTCATATAATACGGCTAGGTATATAACTATTTGTCTTCATTTAGAAATTACTTGAATCGAATACAAGTTCATTCCCGTGTAGAGTAAGATTTTGAAAATATTTTCCTTTAAAGGGATATAACTTATTCAAAGATTTTTTTTTTTTTTAAAAATATGACCTTTATGGAGAATGGGCAGAATTAGGATAATGTAGACCTTAATTAAAATTACACTGTATATTTTTTATTCTTTATTCTATTACGGAAGCGTATAGGGGTCATGCAAAATTTTGTATAAGGTCTCGAGATCCTGCGATCCTGTGATACTTTCTCGATATCCCGTGATCACCTGATAATTTTCTCGAGATCTTAATTTAATTTTCTCGAAATCCCCTGATAATTTTCCTGAGATATTGACATCCTGTGTAAATTTTCTCGAGAATTCGAGTTAATATTCTCGAGATATTGACATCCTGTGTAAATTTTCGCGAGATCCCGAGTTAATATGAAACCTTATACGATATAGTGTCTCCGCGGAGTGATGCAACCATTGGCCCAATACTTTGCACCCGATTTGATAAAAAAAAAACATTTGTTACAAAGGGTACCCATGATTTACACTCAATTTGAAATATGATTAAAATCGATACGTTTCATCGTCTTATGGCCCAAATTTGAATTACAGACATGCTTGTTAAATTATTTCAATTTAATGTTTCTTCGACGTTTAATAGAATATGTCATCTTTTGCATGGTTTTCGGACCATATTTTGTTTTAGAATAAAGCTAGACACAGAGTTTATTGACTTGTGGCAGAAATGCTTCGGGGCAGATTTTAAATCAAAAATCTTGAAAAACTCTGGGCTCTAACGCGTTCATAAGGGATCGCTGCAAATCAATAAGGTTCATTGTTCCGCCGAAAATAAATAGGGTTTCTCTGCTTATGACACTAATGATTCAAAATAAATTTGAACGATAGCCACACAAAGTGTGGAGATCCGCCCACGCAGCATGTCTCAATAAATAGTGACCCAAATACGCTTCCATAAATGAACTGCTCTTTTCATTTTCTTTGTTTTCTTTGTTTCGTTTGAATTTGATTTATCTGTTTAGTTTTTGATTGTTTAATTTTTGTTAATGAAGTTGATTCTTTTAAACTTCGTTTTTATTTTTGAACTCTACTTGGTGTAGGTGTTCATCAGGTAATACCTCGACTGGGTTCAATATAGAGATTAGCCGGTTGATTTGTTGATATAAACCTTTGAATAATAGCGCCTAACAGACAGCTGTGTTTAATTATGTTCTCCTGATTTTGATTGTTTCTGTGTGTTTGAAGTATATGTTTTTGATATGCGCTTAGAAACACTTCACGTGTAATGAAGCGCTATATAAATCGAACAATAATAATAATAATCTATGCCTCAACAGCAGATTATTCGAAAGGAAAACTTGGATGTTTAATAAATTGAATAAGGATCTAGCATTCTTCAAGAAATCTTATCTCTATCGTGTTCACGTGCTTGTTACATCTCTGGGACAAAAAAACTTATATTGCTGAAAAATAACAGGGGTCATCCTTGTCGCGGAACACTGAATTTCGAAAATCCGTTAAAAACAAGGTTTTCAAAGAATGGAGAGTATAACCCCGGAACGGAAGGTCGTTAACCACTGAATATCGATAAAGTTCATGACCCCAAAGCTTCACACAAAATTGTAAAAGTGAAACCTCTATGGCGTGAACAAAGCTTTCAGGGAGCGGGCGGGGAGCGGGGTATATTAAGGAACAGAAGGTCACCGAATGCTGAATATCGATAGGGTTCGTCCTCACATTGTCACATATCTGAAAGAAATACGGACAAAGTTTGCGGAGTACTGAAAATCGAAAGGTCCTAGTGCTTCACACCACATTTAAAAAACAAAATCAGTTAAAAACTGTAGCCTCTATTGCGTTAACAAGGTTTTTCGGATAAGGGGGATAACTCCAGATTGATGAGGTGCGCTGGAAGCTAGAAGCGACAGGGACCGTCCTCTCATGGCCACAATGCTTTACAGTAAACTGTAGGCTCTATCGTCCTATTATGGTTTTCGGGAAAGTGTGTGTGTGGGGGGGGGGGGGGCTCCAAAACGACAGGTTGTGGGGCGCTGAGAAAACGTTAAAACTACGTGTACGCATATGAAAATACCCGAGATCTCGAGAAAATTTACACAGGACGGCAAGATCCCGAGAACATTAACTCGAATTCTCGAGATCGTTAACACAGGATGATAGATTCTCGAGAAAATTATTAGGGGATTTCGAGAACATTAAATTGAGATCTCGAGAAAGTATCACAGGATCGCAGGATCTCGAGGTCTTCTACAAAATTTTGCATGACCCCTATACGCTTCCGTATATTTGGGACTTTTAACATAATTAATGTAACGTTATTGTATTTTTTTTTTTAAAAAAAAACGACCCTTTTTTTTTGCTTTGTTTAATGGTTTAGTCTTAATATTGATAAAAGTATGTTTAAATTGTTTCAATGGCATTTAGTAATTAAACTAGAGTATACAGGTGACAATTCTATGGAATACAAACACTGCTAATTACTGAGCGACGTTTCCACTAGGCTTCTCTAGTCATACATTGCTTGATAATGACTATAGAAGCCTAATCGAAACGTCGCAGAGTAGTGACCCTGTTTATTTAAAAGTCTATTTAGTCTTTGTTTTGATATGTTAAGGTTTTAAAAATGCATTATGTGAGATTTAGATAAAGAGCTGACCGCTCTTGCTATAATAGTTCCAAAAATTGATAATGAAAAATGAATATAATGAAAATTTCATTCAAATTACTTCATTCTGAGCGAAGTTACGAGTGTAGGAAGATGTAGCATTGCTTATTATTGTAGCAACGGAACTGGGCAAGCGAAAATTAGTCTCGTATATCTGTTATATCGTTAAATTTTTATATCCAGCCAGGGTTCGATTTTTGTTCTAATCCCTACAAATCTCTGCCTCCCGATGGTCTAGAGAGTTGATTATAGGCGTGTGTGTTTGCAGCCAAAACAGATTTAGCTCTTACATAATGCATCTTATTGTAAAGTTATTGTAATCTAAAAGAATACTCATGATATTTTTGATTATATTTTTTAAAATCTTGCTTTAAAGAATATATATATATTCAATTAAAGATGTTGTTTGTAGTCACGTGACGATAGCCGCTGATTTATCTACATATATATTTGTGAATGTCGTTTGTCGGTTTGTTTATCTGTTGTGGGGGATACTAGGAACAGTAGGACCTGGTGGGGCTAGATCTGTGTGGGGGATACTAGGACCAGTTGGACCTGGTGGGACTAGATCTATGTGGGGGATACTAGGACCAGTTGGACCTGGTGGGACTAGATCTGTGTGGGGGATACTAGGACCAGTAGGACCTGGTGGGGCTAGATCTGTGTGGGGGATACTAGGACCAGTAGGACCTGGTGGGACTAGATCTGTGTGGGGGATACTAGGACCAGTAGGACCTGGTGGGGCTAGATCTGTGTGGGGGATACTAGGACCAGTATGACCTGGTGGGGCTAGATCTGTGTGGGGGATACTAGGACCAGTAGGACCTGGTGGGGCTAGATCTATGTGGTGGATACTAGGACCAGTAGGACCTGGTGGGGCTAGATCTGTGTGGGGGATACTAGGACCAGTAGGACCTGGTGGGACTAGATCTGTGTGGGGGATACTAGGACCAGTAGGACCTGGTGGGGCTAGATCTGTGTGCGGGATACTAGGACCAGTAGGACCTGCTGGGGCTAGATCTATGTGGGGAATACTGGGACCAGTAGGACCTGCTGGGGCTAGAACTATTTCTTCAGGCCAACTCAAGATTTTGTCAAGGTCGATGAGATGTAAATAAGGTTAGGGCACATGGCGAGACTGTAGGTTAGCTTTAGGGTATGCGTTGGGGTTTCCGTATATGGCACTAAAAGTTCAATAACATAAATATTAAACGTAGCTGTCTGAAATTTTTTCGCGCCTAGGGCGCTCCATTCCATTATATCATCATTCTTCCACTCCTGATCTGTGATCATATACTATCTCATCACTATATCATATTCACGGTTATAGCGAATCGTCCAGTTAGTAATAGCACTAGAGAGTGGGTCAAATGTTCTGTCAAACTTTAACAAAACCGGTGGAATTAACAATCAATGAAGTCAAATGCCAGGAAATATCACATCAATATCCACGGTTATAGTAAACCGCCCAGTTAGTAGTACCACTAGTTCGTGAGTACTGAGCGCCATGGAAAACGCATCACTTTTTTTCCCAAATATTTTATTACTAGGTGGTTTTGTATGTATAATATTATGCAATACTATGAACTATTGTTTCACACTATGCTCCCAAACGCAAAAAATATCGGCCCGTGTGCACACAAAAAAAAATTGCACGAGATGCACATGAAAACCCCAATATTCACGGGCAGCATTGTGTGTGAGCCCTTTAAAAGCATGTTTTCAACTTAATGTGCAGTACATGAACTGTGAAACGTCAATCTGTCGTAATTTGTTGTTGGACGTGTGATGGAATCGAGCTAGAGATGCCGAGACTTACTGAAAATCAACGGAATGAAGCCATGGGAATGTCCCGGGCTGGCATGTCTACACGCGCTATTGCCAGACACTTCAATTGTCATCAGTCCACTATTGTAAGGTTGGTGGAACGTGTTCGAGTTACTGGATCAACACGTGACCGTCAACGTCCTGGTCCAGAACGCGTTACAACCCAGGCTCAAGACCGCTACATCCGGGTCACTCTTCTGCGTGACAGATTCCGCCCAACGACTCGAACAAGTGCAGCAGTCGTCGGAAGACAAGGACCAGTAAGTGCCAACACCGTAAGACGTCGTCTAAGAGAAGTAGGACTCCGTGCACGACGACCATATGTTGGAGCTATCCTCGGGGATCATCACCGTCAGCGGCGTTTGATATGGGCTCAAGGACACCAGACATGGAGAAGAGTAGACTGGCAAAGTGTGCTCTTCAGTGATGAGAGTCGCTTTCATCTTTATCACGCTTATGGCCGTCAACGTGTGTGGAGACGTCTTGGGGAACGTCTTGCAGACTGCTGCGTCTTCGAAACGAATCGATGGGGTGGGGGAAGTGTAATGGCCTGGAGAGGCTTCACATTTCATCATCGGACCGCCCTACACATTTGCAGGGGTCGCGTTAATGCTGTAGCCTACCGTGATGATGTCTTGCAACCAATTGTTGTTCCGATGTTTCGAGCACACCCACACCTTCAGCACTTCCAACAGGATAATGCACGTCCGCATACCGCCCGATTTAGTATGGACTACCTGGCTGCTAACAACATCAATGTCTCGTCTGGCCAGCCATGTCTCCGGACATGGCACCGATAGAACATGTCTGGGATGAGATTGGACGCCGTCTGTATTGGAGACCACAGATGCACAACATTGCTGCTTTAAAAGCTGCTCTTGTCCAAGAATGGAACAATTTGCCCCAGGCCTTCTTTCAAACATTGGTTAATTCCATGCGATGTCGCTGCACAGCGTGCGTAAGAGCCCGTGGAGGACACACGCGCTACTGACATCTGTGTCGTACTTTTGGTTTTGACCCCTCTAACTTTGTACCGTTGATTACAGATTAAACATCCATAAGTGTACAAATGTGTTGTTATTGACGTGTTCCCATTTGAATATTGTTCACAATAAGAAGCAAAATAAATAAGATATGTTTACAGGATCATTTTGTTATACGAAAAACTAAGTGATGCGTTTTCCATGGCGCTCAGTATATTATATCACCTCCCACAAAACAGGCGGAATTGTCAGGCAGATCTCAAGATTCTGTACCATTTCTGTTCCTCTAGTTCACAAGAATTTGCTCCTAGGAATGACTTCAAAACCAGGATATTGGCTTAAATTTCCAAAAATTTCTCAGGGGAGCTCCCACTGCCCCCCCCCTCCTTTTCAGGTTCCTCGGCGTTATTGTCACTTCTCTAAGGTTGACAAATATCAATAACAAAATCAATAATAATATGACATGAGCTTTATGTCAACTTGAATAAAACTAGTTGTCGGCAAGATAACGATCGACGAACAACTATAATATAATTTAGGTAATAAGACCTATGTTCTACCGGGGTGCTCAGGCAGAGTTATAGCCAGTTATTATGGGGTGGGATTATGGATGGCGCCCTAGATTTGGAACCACCCCCTACCCCACAGCTTCTAGATCCACAACTGATAGCGTGTATTCTAAACCCAAGCATTAAGTCCGTTTGTCATAAAATAGGGCAATTCGCTAGGGTTCCTATTTACTCAGGCATCCAAATACTCAAGCGCAAAATTAGACAATCTGTCATTTAAGGGTAAGAATACATAGCTGATTATGACCAAATATGAAATCCTATCCACTGCCTCTCAAAGAGTAATATCGTAGAAAGTAGAAATGATTTGTGGAGGGGGGGGGGGAAATCGTTTACATTGGCTATGAAAACTTCGTAGGAAAATGGCAAGTAATTTTTTACTGCTGAAAAGCAACCTTGTGAAAGTTGTCTGATTTTCCAGCATCAGTTGTGCAAGACGGGGGGGGGGGGGGGGGTCTTGGTCTGTCAAGGACAGTGTCCAGATGTTCGGATGGAACTTTCAAGATCCCGTGTACACGTTAAAGAACCATTGACAGATGGAGTTAGAAATTGGGGTAGTCCGTAGCGTCGATGTCCGAACAAATTTCACTCGTCTTCATTAACCCAGTCGGCGCAGAAAAGTTGGACGTTAAACCCCATTTCACTTAATAAATGTATGCACTATTTATGTATTCTTATATAATATAGAAACGGTATTATAAATGTATGCACTATTTATGTATTTTTATATAAAATATAAACGGTATTATAAAGTAGACTTATATTAAAGGGTCATTATGTAAGATTAGATAAAGAGCTGGCAGTTCTCACTATAATAGTTAAAAACTAGATAATGTAAAGGGAATATGCTGCAAATTTGTCAAATTGCTCCACTCTGAACCGAGATATCAGCTTTTGAATTTTAGACCTAGCTTCGATCATCATTACCAAAGTCGATAAGATAAA